TCCTGCCTCAGCCTCCAGAGCCGCTGGGATTACAGGCAGAAGCCCCCACCCAGCTAACAGTGATGTTATTCTTTTCCTGAAGGGAGCTACATGGCCTGAGTAGGGGCTGGCAACCTCTCCCAGTTCACAATTTCTCCAAAAGCACTGATAGATTTCCAAACACAGGAGAGGAAACGCAGTTCCACAGTGTGAAGTCATAGATTCATTAAGTCAGCGCATCGTGGCGATGATATTTTACTGGCAATGATGCCTCCTCTTTCACAATGAGCCCTAATAATCCACGATGAGATGACAGCCATGCAGGGGACCACCATGGGGCTAGCTGAGCCACCATGGTGGAGTGCCTGCTGAGTGACAGTTCATGCTAGGACAATTTATCATGTCTTGTGCTAACGGGCGAGGTGTTCAAATATAAACAATTTCAATCACATGTTTTTACTGATGCTTAGGAGATGTCCCCAATAACTGAAAATCTCTAACATAATTCCATCTTCAGTTTTTAAAGAATGCAAAACATTAATGTCCAACCCACCCAAAATTAACCATGTGCCGTGAAGAGGGCTTTGCTTGGGGTGTGAGGACAAAGGCAGGAGGCTGTGGTCCCGACTCACTGCGTCCCCAGAGGGTCCCTTGGGGGAGTCCAGTCCCTGGCGTGATGGTGCTGAGAGGTGCACATTTAAGAGGCRGAGCCTGGTGGGAGGTAACTAGGTCAGGCCATCCTGATGAGGGTCCGACCTGGTGAGGGTCCGACCTGGTGAGGGGGTTTGGCTCTCCTGTGAGGGAGGTTGTTATGAGCCCCACACAACCCTACCTGGTCTCCTGCTGCATCGCTTGCTGTGTGTCTCAGGCTCCAGCCATGATGCTGCACAGAGAGGGGCCTGGCCAGCAAGGGCCATGCCATGTGGGCTTTCCAGCCACCAGAATCACATGCCAAATAAGTCTCTTTTCTCTATAAATTACCCAGCCTCAGGTATTTTGTTATAGCAAATGAGGCATGGCTGTGTGCACCCCCCCCCCCGCCCACACACACTGTAGTCTTGGCTGGAATTTCCATTGCTTCTTGTATTTCACCCATCAAGGGTCTTTGTTAGACTATAACAGGTAGGACACTAGAGAGTTACGTAGGAAGGACTGAGATGTGTGGGACAGCCTAGGGAATATGGTTTTTGAAAACCAATAGGGTAGAGTAATACTTCCCCACCTGTATGTCAGAATGCAATGTGTATCTGAGGGCCTTCCGAGCGTGCTATGAACTTAGGTGCAAGGCATATGATGGGGACCAAATAAAGTCTCTTTAATCTGCCACTTCTATTGTCTGACCATTTAACAGAAGGAGATTGGGTGGAGATGAAAGAACTACTCTCTACTGAACGTCACATGCCATTCATCATTAAGACAGTGTGGACAGTAAGAGACCTGAAAGGTCACGCGCCCCCCTTTGCTAACAAGGGACACAATTCATTACCTAATGAACGCAGTGGAAGAATTCATTAATGATCTTGTTAATACAATTGAATCCTTGGGGATCAGGATTTCCAAGTCTCGTTATAACCTAGAAACTTCCAGTGCTAATTCCTGGAGGGTACAATAAATTCAGTTACTTTGGAGCTTCAAAGCTTTGGTCTCCAAGGAAGAATGCTTTTCTCCATCACTTAGAAATACATGGTGATGGGCAGGGGTTGTGGCTCAGTGGTAAAGCGCTTGCCTAGCATGTGAGAAGCACTGGGTTGGATTCTCAGCATCACATATAAAATAATGAATAAAATTAATGCAAGCGAAGTTAGACAATCCCCCCACAAAAAATGTCAAATATTTCTCTGATATAAGGTGACTGACTTATAGTGGGGTAGGGAGGGGGATCATGGGAGGAATAGAAGAACTCTAGATAGGGCAGAAGAGTGGGAGGGGAAGGAAGGGGGTAGGAGGTTAGCAATGATGGTGGAATTCGATGGTCATCATTATCCAAAGTACATGTATGAAGAAGACATGAATTGGTGTGAGCATACTTTATATACAACCAGTGATATGAAAAATTGTGTTCTATATGTGTAACAAGAATTGTAATGCATTCCACTGTCATGTATTTTTTAAAAAATCAGTAAAAATAAATACATAAATAAAATACTTGACAAAAAATAAAATAATGAATAAAATAAAGATCCATCAACATCTAAATAAATAAATAATACTTCGTATTTTTAATTAACACCTGACATTGCACATATTTCTGGGCTTCCCCGTGATCAGTCAATGCCTGTGTACCGGGTGTAATGACCAATCAGAATAATTAGCATTTCACGTCCTTGCCTCTCTGTGTTGGGGACCTTTTAGCTCCTTGTAACCCTGTCATATTAGGTGGAGTCAGATGGGGTGCAGGGCTAACTTCCCCGACGTTTAGGCAAACTTCCTGAAAACTCCATCCAACCTTAGGAGGCTCAGGAGGCTGACTCTGCAAGGTGGGAATAGGTGGTCTCCTCCCAGCGCACAGTCAGTCCTCAGCTGAGTCCCGGGCCCTCTGCTGGTCCTGTGCAGCCCCATCCTCCCCAGCACTCTGCCCTGGAGCTCGGCTGCCTGGCCCTGGACTCTGCCTTGGTCCCTCAGCTGAGGCTGCCGTGCTCTGCCTGGGCTTCTCTCTGCAGCGTGACTGGAGTTGCTCCAGGTCCCAGGTCCCACTGTCCGACCCTGAGCGGCTGTCATGATACAGCTCCTGGTCGTCACATAGTTTGAGCAAGAGAGAAATATTTATTGTCTTAAGCTGCTAAGATTTTAGGGTTGTTTGTTCCTGAAAAAACTTGAGCTACTTTACTCTGATGAAACAGAGACACAGTGTGAGAAGACACGTGTGTGTGTGTGTGAAGCAGACAGCACAGTGCGCAGGACAGTGCGGCCTGYGAGGGCCACACAGGGGAGACTGCGGCCCCTGGTCGGTCCTGCCATTGCCTGATCACCCTCCCTGTGCAGGGAAATGCCCACACAATGCCCACACAGCCCTCCCTCCTGCAGCTCGCTCACAGCAGGGAGGACGCAGAGAGGACAGTGAGCTCCTGGATAAACAGCAGAGCGTGCAGGCAGCCATCAGCACAGGAACTGTGAGCTTCTAGAGGGTTCTGGAAGGCCGCTGAGTTTGGGCTGAGATTTGAGGGACAGCAGCCATTCACCCAGGGGAAGGGAAGGTACAGAGCCGGGAGGTGGGCTGACCCAGCAGAGCCCGGGGCTGTGGAGGGGTCCTGGTGGGCTGCAGAGTACTCAGGACCCAGCATTCCCGAAGAGCCTCTCTGCAGCCCTAGGGCCTGCAGGACCTGGTGCTGCCCGCAAGGCACTCAGGAGTCCATCATCTGGCCCGGCGTGTAGGTGACAATACGGGACGCTTGCCTGTCCAAGGGTGGCTGAGGCAAAGCATGAAGCATCCCGGGGGGAGGGGAAGCTGGACAGTCACTTATGGGGTTTCAGCTGACCACAGAACCAGAGGGTTCTGGAGGGTGCTAGAACTGGACACTTTCAGAAATGCTCAGGACATTAGTGTGGAAAGAAGGTGCAGGGGGACGCTGGGCTTGCACCCACAGGTGGACGACAAGGCTGGTGGCTGAGTGTGGGGATGGAGCACAGGGCCAAGACCGGGGCAGCAAGATGCAGAGTGAGATTGTCCCCTCCGAGAGTGGGCTGTATCCAACAGGGCTGTTCTCGGAGGCACCAGGGGGACACTGGTGCTCACAAAGGAGCGGCAGAGCCCAGGGCCCGATGCTCCTGAGCAGCCTGTGGCTCTCGGAGTCAGCTCCTCCTTCCCTTATGACCGTGCTACCAGTCTGTGTCTGAAACTCAGAAGCAAGCAGCTCAAGCCTGGGCCAAGCTCCGGGCTGCCGTGCTGCGCGTGGCCACCAGCTCTCAGGAGACCTGACACCACACACAGTGGGAGGGAGCCAGTTCCCAGTGGAACTCCCACTGCCCAGGACGTATCTGAGAGGCAGGGTGGGTCTGCGCAGCAGTGAGGGGCACTCCCCCTCTTGGTCCCCCTCCTTGTGGAGGGCACCAGCTGGGAGGGGGCGCAGGCTGCAGGGTCGAGGAGCCAGTTCATGGGTGCCAGCTGCCTGTAGCTGGGGTCCCCCAGGGACTGAGGGAATGGTCTCTGGTCAAGGAAGGGACACAGGCTTGGGTGGAAGGGTGGTCCCTTATCCTGGAAACCCAGGACCACCTCTGGATAATTCTGCCTGGTGCACTGCCTCCCACCAGTGAGTTTGTTAGTCCCTGTCCTGATCTAGGGCCCCTTTGTGCCGGTGCACTTGTACCAGACGTGGAGACGGTCAAGAGGAGCCGTGGCCCCACCAGCTCCCCTCTGGGCTCTGGCCCTGCTGTGTGGGGACGGCACTCACGGACTGGGACTGTTGTGCTTCCTCACCCCTCGGCTGGAGGCAGCACAGGCTCTTGCTAGTCCATGCCCCAAGCAGAGATGCAGGCTGCCGGTGGCCAGGGATGGACACACATCACTGGTTTCCTCCCAGGAGGGTCTGAAAGTTCCCAGTGTACAGAGCCCTGTGCACGTGGCACACACAAGGAAGCGTCTTAAGTGGCAGGCATCCAATCTGCCCATGGGACAGCTGCCAGAAGCCACCTAGAATACCCACGGTGCCCACTCCCTCCTTCCCTAGAGGAAGGTAGACGTGGAGGTGCTTCAAAACTAACAACATGGAACACGTAACTTAATATTGATCAACAGGACAGCAGGGCCACAGAAATGCCTTGGTCAGGGTCCCTTCTGCCTACRGATCTTTCTGTGCCCATTCTCCAAGCCAGGCTTCAGAAGAGGCCACACGGGCTCTTGGGCGTCTCTTTCTGGAATCATGGTGGCTCCTCAGTGAGCACCTCACGACTTACGCTCTGAGCCATCTGGACACTGGTGGCCCAGGACTGGAGGAAAATTAAGATGTCACCCCTGGTGGGGGTCAGAATGTCACTGTGGGTGGCAGGCAGAGGGCTAGCGATGGAGAACACAGGTCACAGCACCTTTATTTACCATTATACAAATGATGTGACATGAAGGACACTCAGCATCTAGGACAGTCAATGCCTTTTGAAACCCAACGAGAAGGTCACGCATGCTGCCTTCAGCCGGGAGCCACGAGCCTCCGCCTGTGGGCCCTGACAGTGGAACCAGGCAAGGCACTGGAATCTGCCCCCGCCAACCCGCCCAGCGGTTCTGAGCTGGACACAGGGTGGGGCACGCGCACAGCACTTTCCTGAGAGAACACGTCACACGCTACAGCTGTGCCAGGGGCCGGGCCCCTCCTGCAGAGCACAGGACGCATGGCAGGCCGCGGGCCCGTGCTCTCCACCAGCTCACCGGTCAAACACGTCCTCATGATTTAAGTCGTCACCACTGAGATGGGCAGCAGGGCTCGCTGGCCACATGGCCTCTTCCTTTAGAGACACCCCTGTGCACCCTGGTCTCGTAGAGTCAAGCACTCTGGATAACAAGGGTGTGGGGCAGAGCAGCRGCCCTTGAGGACTCTTTGGGCTGAGAAGGGCCTTTTGTTCACTATCCAGTTTCTTGTGAGATTCACAGCAATTGCTTTAGGACAACACRCTTGCTCAGACGTGACCTATCAAGATCATGTGTCCACAGAAGCCCGGGAGACAGTCCGGCTCTGTGAGTGCCCACCTGCCACCCGGGGAGAAGCTGCCTCTGTGTTTCAGCAACAGTGGCAGCGCCCGCGCCACATGACCTGAATCAGGTTCTTCAGAAACACCTGACACAACTCCTTTAAAAAAAAAATCAGAACAATTGAGAAGGCCTCTCTTTCCCAGGAAGCAGGATGAGGGACAGATGCCTGTGCAGGTCAGTCACCAGCCTCGCCTGCACAGGCTTTTTGCCAGGCTGTTCTGCCCTGGAGACTCTGCAAATGCAGAGACTGGCACTAACGTCTAGGGAGAAAGCTCWCCCGGCGAGTCCAGGGGCGGCTGGACGACTTGTGGCTGGAGAATGGAGAACAAGCCACCCTTGCCCAAGAGGGAAACCACCTCACGTGAAGCAGTTCCTTATATATATAAATAACAAAAAATAACTACCATAAATTAAGAATTCAAACACTCTCCCACTGTGGAGTCTGCTGAGACAAGACGGCATGCGTGGGCCCGGCAGGGGGGGCCAGGGCTCGGCATGCCCACCCGCTCCGGGCTCAGAGGGCACGTATTGCACAAAACCAGCTCCGGAGCCATCCTCAGAAGCTTGCTGCTGGGAATGAACTGAAGCCCAGGAAAGCCCCATGCTGCCCCACATACCTGCGCCCAGAGCCAGGCTCTCCTGCCTTACTCAGCCACTGCCCATGTTACCAGGGTCCCTTCAGGTGGCCTCCCTGGTAACAGTAGGCCAGCTGACCCTCACAGGCAGTGCTGAAGACAGCTCCTCTCCCACGCCTGCACGTCCCACACGGCTGGCTGCACACAGCGGGTCGGCCAGCCAGGCCCTTCACCCCCGGGTGGCACGCTGGCATGACGTGTGTCCTACAGAGCTGGCTGTAAGAGCATTCCACGCATCTGCTGCTAGACTAACCTCGCCTGCCTCCACTCCCAGCTGCAGGCAGCCGAGTCCTCGGTGTTTCTGGAACACACACGCTTCCCTGTCCAGAGCCTGATCGCTCAACGTTTTTTATAGGGAATGGGTCTTTGGACACACCCACCTTTGGAATTGAGGTTCACACAGAAAGAAGACATGGATTTCTTCCCTGTCCTTCTGTTCAGGGCTCTGACTGAGATTCAGCCACAGTAAATACTTTTGGATGGCAGAGAATCCTGAGACGACTCCAAAGGAGCCTCTGGAAGTGACCTCTCCACTGTGGGAGAGCGCCTCTGCACGGGCAGGAGTGCAGAATCGGACGTGGACAGTCCTACAGTGCAATCGACTTCATCATCTTAAAGTTAGAAAAACAATGTTGGCCACAACAAGGTCTTGAATACACGTTTGAAATAAAAAAGAAAATGAAAAACCGTATGAAAATGGATTGATGGACATTTCCAACATGTCTTTTGTGCCTGGGTGGGTGGCCTCACGTGACCCCTTGCCTGTGAGGGACTCAAAGGCAGAGTCCCATGTCACTGTGGCACATCTCACATGTGGCCTCAGTCCACAGCCGTGCAGCAAACTGGACTCAAACCTTATTCTGAAGAGAAGTTACTTCAACCTCTATCTGCTCACTTGCCAAAAAAATCCAAGAGTGAGGAGAAAACCGTGTTCTCTGCTGTGTGCTGCCCCGGGGCTACTGTGTGTTCAGTACAGTAATGAGCTCCAAAGAAAACAGAAATGAACGGCTCGTGCTCCTCATGACCATCGCTCTGGGGACCTGCTTCTACCTCTACGCCCCTTCTCCAGCCCTGCCCTCAGCGTTCCGAGGCCGGCTGCACGACCTTGGTAAGGCATATCTGGCACGGACCGAGTTTCAAACCCTGCCTGCCGGGTCGTTTCTGGAGCTAAGCCAACACGCCCACGGCTGCTGGGGTACCTGGAGGCGGTCTGCAAAGCTACGTCCACCTCAGGCACCACGCACCGTATGCACCTTTGCTCTGTTTGGTATCCAGCACACACACCTCAAGACACCCCCAGTCCCTGGCTCTGTCCGGTGGCGGCAGCAGCTCAGTAGCTGTACATCTGCTGCTGCTCGGCCTGGACCTGGGGCTGTGCTGCCTGCTGTGGGGGTGCCGGCGGCTGTGGCGGCTGCAACACGTCTGTCTGGGGCACCGCCCGCCATGTGAGTGGGTGCTGCTCACTGAGCTGGCTCCCCAGGGGTGTGATGGAGTTGACCAGGGTGGTCAGATTAATGAAGTGGGCCACAGACTGGGGGCTGGAGGCCTCTGGCGGCGGGTGGACCTGGACATCGTGCTGGCGGTTGTGCAGCATGGCGGAGCCACTGACGGTGTCAAAGGTCACGGTCAGGATGGAGTTGTCCAGCTGCAACTGGCGTTCAGGGGTGGTGAGGTGCCCCACGGCCACTGGCTGCAGATTGGTAAACTGAGTCCCAGCTGCAGTGGTGATGGGGGTCACGGTGATGTTGGTCAGGCCAACGGAACTTGATGGGGCAGTCACATTGGGGTCTCCCAGGGTCACCACCACCTGSAAGAGTGACACAGAGCAAGAGACAGTGAGGTTTGCTGCAGAGGAGGGTGGAGTAGGCTCCCGAGAGTGCACTTGGCTGCAGGGTCACAGTCACACTGGGGCTGTCACATGCTCCTGGCTAAGGATAAGAGGCAAACAGCTGTTGGTGAAGAAGACACCAAGTTAATCTTGTCCTGGAAAAACCATTTCCATTGGAAAAGAGAAACAAGATGCAAATAATAACCAGGCCACAAGGGGGCAGAACACTCCAGGGAGGGGCTGCCCGGGTGGGCAGGAGAGGAAGCCAGCATGAACACGGAGGCCCAGCCTCCCGCAGGCACTGCCTCCCGCCCTGCTGCCCGCAAGCCACAGAGAACCTGCCCTGGTTAGGTCTGAAATGCTCCCCAGAGACACCCCAGGCTCGGGACCAAGGAGCGCCCGGCTGGTGGCACTATTTGGGGTGGTAGGACCTTTAGGAGAGGCCTGGTCGGAGGGAGCATGTCACTGCGGGGTCTGCCCCTTAGAAGGGGTTTTTGTCCCCACACCCCATCTCAGCTTCCCTGCAGCCATGAGCTGACAGCTTGCCCCTGAACTCCACACCATGATGTTCTTCTGGAACGTTCTTCCTCCTCACAGGCCAAAGTGATGGCCAAGTGACCATAGACTAAAACCTCAGACCACAAGCCAAAATAACGCTTCCCTCCTTTAAGCGACTTTCCTGGGCACTTTGCCACAGTGGTGGGAAGCGGGCACGATATCCTCACGGCAGGGTAAGGAGGAGAACGCGACACCGCAGTCCCCACAGCCGGGCAAGGAGGTGGCTCTCCTTCCTAAGCAGCACAGAGGGCAGCCGAGTGCAGGGGTCCCCTCCAGAGTGGAAGGCACGCAGAGGCAGGGCCCCGAGAGACGCGGGGCCTCAGGAGCAAACATGATGAGCCTGAGCCAGAGATCTGTGGGAGGAGGGGCTCAGCTGCCCCGTCCTGTCCTCCCCCCTGCAGAGGGCCCGCCTGGCCTGCAGTGCCTACGACTACCCCTCCACAACCAGGGGACGCACTGGCAGCCTGGGGTCTCCCCACACTGGGACCCCAGCCAGAGTGACGTCCGTTTCACACACTGGGATGTCAGGTCACTGCTGACAGTGACCAGTGTGATGTGGAGGTCAAATCCTGGCGTGCTACAGGGAACAAGGCCGGTGTGGACCGCAGGACTCAGGGCAGACCCAGGAGGAGTCCACGTGTGCGGGGCGCATGCTGCAGATGGGCTGGCGTCCTGCGCGTGCAGACGCTGTGCTCGGGGAAGCGGCCTCCATAAGAGTGCCTGGCACCCGATCTTACAGAGAGAAACCAGCAGACCTGCTGAATGCTCTGCACCGCGGAGCTGGTCTCGTCGCCCACGCTGCCCGTGAACTCAGCCTCCTTTTCCGAGTACTCGCTGAAGGCGGTGTCCTCGGGTGCCGGTGCCCCTGCCCCCTCCTCAGGTTTCTGCTTCCTCCGATGGCTACGCTTGGCAGTCTTCCCGGGCTTCCCCTCGGCCAGCTCTTCCTGCTCCAGGTTCAGCTCAGGCTGTGGGAAGACCAGGTTCAGCGACAACAGGCCAGGACAGCCCTGCACCGCCCTGGACACACGGCAGGCCAGCGGTGAGGCTCAGCCCACGGTGCAGGCTTCCAGAACAACTCTCCCCGGGGCAGAAAGAGACCCCTGTAGGACGGCTGTGGTCCGAAGGGCCTGCCCACGACAACTGTGTGGACGGCTCCCGGGGACCCATCCCACGTGCCCCCTGCAGGGGAAGAGGGAGAGACGGGCCGTGGCCAGATCCTCCTGCCAGGTCAATCCTCCCCGGGCAGCAAGGGGCCTGGGGAGGTTCTCCGCGTGGTCCCACTGCCCCTCCCGTGCGACTCATGCCCCCAAGGCAGACAGACCAGAGTAGTCTGCCAAGGCGTGGTCACAGTGGCTTCCCTCCCACTGGCTGCCCGCGGCTCAGGCCAAGTGGCTCATGGGTCTCTGGTCTGGACATGGCTACCACACACTCCCTCACTGGACCCAGCGGCCTGCGTCTGCACTGCACTCAGGAYCTGTGGCACGGCACTCGGGCGTCGATGCACTGCACCCTCAGTCCCTTGTGCCCGCGGGGGCCCTTGTGCGGCTCACCTGGACGATGCCGATGGAGGAGGCGTCAATGGTGGTGGTCTCAGGCAGGTGGTCCAGGTCGTCGATCCTCACTGCGAGGACCTGCAGGGGCATGGGACAGTGAGCAGGGATGCCAGCCCCCATGACAGCGGCCCTGGTGACACCCGAGGAACCCAGACACAGGGGTGGGGGCCCTGAAGCAGGGGCCCTCAGAGAAGTCCCTCTGCGGGGGGCTGGCCTGAGACTCAGCAGCCCATCCAGGAGGGTCCCCAGGCCCAGCCCCTGACCAGGTTCCTGCAGGCTCTCACATAGCGGGGCTGCTGGCACCAAGGTGCTCTCTCCTCTAGTGACTGCACAGCTGCGGCGGGCACCGCATCCTCCCTCTGCTGCCCCGTGACAGGAGCTCTCAGTCAGTGAGACCCCAGAGCCCCTGGCGCCCCGCAGAGCAACTGAGCAAGTGAGGTGCAGTGGGCCGGGTCCGGACAGCGGCTCCTCACTTAGAGCACCCTCACCCCCACCTGTCTCTCGGTGGCGAGCGGAGTGCAGCCCCTCCCCTCCCCTCCATCTGCCCTGCTGAGCCATGTCCTCAGCATGTGACGCTGGCACTGGGACTTGCCCCCTGTGCCCATGGCTCTCCCACAGCTTGGGTGTGAGCAGCGGGTGAGCACCTCACCACCAGCCTGCCCCTGCACACGTTCCTCAGGCTCATTCTGTGATGACTGCACTGATTAGGTCACAAGGAGGGGACACAGCACATAGGACGGAAGGCAGAGACTGACGAGGTACGCGGTCAGACGGGACGGGCTGTGGGAACCACAGTGTCTGGGGGGTTCTGCAGCCCTGCAGGCCCCTGAGGGAAGTAACCCTGGAAAGGGAACAGAGGCTCTGGGTGGCTGACGACCGGGGGCGGGCAGGCCGTCTCTGGCCTGTCCTCCGCACAGGACCCTGTGGCCTTGAGCCTCAAGCAGGTGCTGGGGACACCTGCGCTCAGCCCTCCAGCTCAGGACTAGGGGAGGCTGTGCTGTGCTTCTGGGGCCACGTGATTCCCTCCCTCAGGGTCTCTCTCCTCTGCACGTGGCCCCCGGCTTCGTCGCAAGGCATCATCACCAGGAATGTGCACCCGTCTGCCGCTGGCCTCTGCGCTCTCTGACCTACAGAGGCCCTCGGGTGGGTGCAGTCAATAGTTTATTGACTTCTTCTGCCACTTTGGGTGGGAAAGTCTCCCGTTCCAGGAGGTGATGACCATTCACCTGCATTTTCTTCTTTGAAGTGTACCTCGCTGCCGGGCTCCCCCAGACCTTCTCTAGGAGGGCTTTYGGGGGGCCAGGCCGCACTTCTCCAGTTTCTCCCTCTGGGCTGAGCCCCCACCCTGGCACTCTGATGGTTCCTGTTTTGCACACTATTCACTTCAATGGGAGGAAGCAGGGAGAGGGCGGGCAGGGCGTCCACCTGGTGTGACCCCAGGGAGAGAATGTTTAGAACTGGTGTGAGTTACCCTGGGCCTCCTCTGTCCTGGCCGTTCGTCCGGCACCTCCTCCTGCGCAGGTGCACAACTCAAGGGTATGCGGTCAGGCCCTGCCCCAGGAACTCAGGGTCTCCAGCAAGACAGACCCAGGCACCGCAGTGGGGTTCTGCAGAGGGGAGGCACACCCCAGGCCACAGAGGGCGGGGGACGGTCACCAGGCTCACCTCGGGGTGCTTGCGCCGCATGTGCCTGCTCATGGAGGCCCGGGTGGACACCTTGGTCCCGCACAGCTGACAGCTCTGCGCCTCCACCTTGTCATGGGTGAGCTGCACGTGCTTCTGCAGCATGTACTCGGTGACGTACTTCTTGTCACACACGGAGCACGTCCACTGCTTGCCCACTTCTCATGTGTACACAGGCAGGAGGAGAGAGAGGTGCAGGTCACCGGTGGGGCCTTCCCCTGACCCCACTCTGGAGAGCCTGTGCCTGCCAGCTCACTGCTCCTCTTGCAAGAGCTGCCCACCAGGTCAGCCCTGGGGAGCACMTGAGGCCTCTCCCCCACAGGGCTGCCCCACAAATACCGGACGGCTCAAGGCCCCTGACTGCCCCACCAATAAATACTGGGCTCAAGTTGCAGGGGTCTCGCACTGAGCACTCTGGGGACACCGGCCTAAGAGCAGCCGTGCCAGCCTCAACAGCTGGTGCAGCCGAGGGCGTGCGTTCCTGCAGACCACCCACCTGTGTGGATGAGCTTGTGGGTCTCCATGGTGTTCCTCTCGCTGAAGGTCTTCCCACACAGCTCACACATGAAGTCTTTGATCCCTGTGGGAAGAGCACGCCGAGTCTCACAGGCAGGAAGCACTGAACATAAAGGAGGTCTTGCCCGTGTCACAGCCTAGCGTCTGCCTCTGGGGGGAGGGAAATTGCCAGAAGGTGGTAAACAAAAAGTCCTCATTCTCAAACTCAACTCGCTCCCAGAAAACTGTGGCTTTAAAATATCCCTCTAGGGCGATATTTTATATTAAAAAATAAAAAGCAGAAAGGCCTATGTGAAAACACAGAGGCAGAGCAGCACCAAGTATGAAGCAGTGGCAGTTGCTTTAGGGGTTAGTTTACTCACCCCACTGAGTCCAGGTAGCACACGAGACAGAGGAGAGAAAAGTAACAGAGGAACCCAGACCAAACGCAAGGAGGGTACAAATACGCCGAGCCCAAGAGACCACAGGACTGCTGGGCCAACCACTGTCTCTACTGTCCAACAGTGCACACAGAAAGACCACTCACCACAACCAAGTGTGAAGGAGGCAGGACGATTCAACACATGCCAATCAATACGTGTCATACGTCACATCAACGGAAGGAAGGGTGAAAAGCACATAGACATCTTAACAGACCAGAAAAGACATTTGATGGAATTCAACGTCCCTTCAAAATGGAAACCTTGAGCAAAGTTAAGTGTCAAAGGACCCTACCCCAGCACAATAAAGGCCACCTGCGACCAACCCACAGCCAACATCATACCAAATGTGGAAACCGAAAGCATTTCTCTAAAACCAGGAACAAGACCAGGGTGTCCTCTCTCAGTGCTCTCATCCAACACAGCACTGGACGTTTCAGCCAGGGTGGTCAGGCAAAATGAGACACAGAAGGCACACCAACAGGAAAGGAGGAAATCAAACAATCCTATGCAGGAAAACCTAAAGACCCACTGAAAGACCTCTAGAACCGACGAGTGAGTTCAGCGAGGATGCAGCGTGTGAAATCAATACGAAAAATGTACAGCCAACAACAAACTTGGTCAGAAACCATGAAAGCAACCCCATTCACAGCAGCTATGAGAAGAAGGAGAAGGAGGAGGAAGAGGTGGAGGAGGAAGAGGAGGGGAGGAGGTGGGGGGAGAAGAAGAAAAAGAAAGCCAACCAACCAACCAACCAACCAACCAAAAACCCAGGAATACACTTAACCACGAAGTAGAAAAAACTCTACAAAGAACGTTAACAAACACTGATGTAAGAAATTAAAGAATACACACAAAAAACAGAGACATTCTATGTTCATGGACTGGAGGAATGAACATTGTCAAAATGTCCATCCTATCCAAAGTGTTCAATGCAGCTCCATTGACACGTCAGACTTGAAGAGAGAATCTAGAACTAGAAGAGAGAATCCAAACTTCATTTGGAAGTGTGAAAGACTACCAAAGCCATCCCGAACAAAAGACCAAAGCTGGAGGCCTGGCCCTGAGCCACAGAGACAGCAGGTACCAGCCAGAAACACGAGAGAAACACACCCACAGTCTACGCCAACTGACTCTGAACAGAGATGCCAAGAACCTGATTAGAGAGAGGACAGCCTCTTCAATCAAGAGTGCTGGGAAAGCTGGATAGGGAAGACTCAACCCAACTCTCACCCTGCACGAAAATCAAGTCAAACTCCTTCCAAAGCTGAAATGAAAGACCTGAAGCTGAAACTCCTAGAAAACACAGCAGATGTTTCAAGACACTGTACAGGAACCTGACGAAGGGTGGGCGTCCACATACACGAGGAACTCAAACACTTGACCAAACACTAGTTCATCCAATTAAAACACAGACCAGTGTGCTGACAGACACGGATGTACGCAAAAATGCTCAATGTCACGAGCCACAGGGACGCCAAACCAAAACTAGAGCGAGACAGARCCCCACGCCAGTGGGAAAGGCTGTCACCCCGAGAACATGAGCAAATGCGGGAGGATGTGGAAAGGGGGCTCTCCTACACTGTGGGCGCGTCTCTGCCCTCTGCAGTCTCCAGGGTGCCCAGAGGGTGACGCGGCCTGGGACCACGGGCCAAACCTATCAGAGGCCCACCAGCCCTGGGTGCTCCTGCCTGTGGGCTCGGAGCCAGGTGGGGCCTGGCGCTCACGACAGGGAGCCTCTGGGGCCACTGGGGCAGAGGCGGGCGGCGGGCCTCACCCGTGTGCCGCTTGTAGTGCTTCAGCATGTTGACCTTCTGCGCGAACTTGCGGTGGCACTCCTTGCACTCGTACTCCTTGATGCCCTTGTGCAGCTTCATGTGGTGGCGCAGCGCRTGTTTCGTCTTCATGCCTGGGGACATAGGAGGCCAGGCTGTGCCAGCTGGGCCCTCCAGAGCCCGCTCCAGCTGCCCGCGCCCTGATGCGGCCTGCCTGTGCGGGGACCTCAGAGATCTGGGCTCCACCAGCCACAGGACTGGCACCACCCCAGAGCCACTAGAGACCAACCACGACACCAGCTGCTGCAGACGTCCATGACTTACCACCGTGACCCAACTGGACAAGTTGGAGAGGGAGGRAGGGGGTGACTAGGGCTTCCTGCCCATCTTGACAGAATGTTAGTCAAGATGCCAGGACACCAYGTGACTGAAATAAGCACCCTCATCTACCTTTAGTGCAGGTCAACACAGCCCATCTGAGGGAGCTCATGGGGAGAGGGGCACCCCTGAACAAGGCGCGGGTCGGGGGAGCGAACAGTCTCAAACAGCCCAGGACCAGCTGGGTGTACAATGCTGTGCCTGAAACCCCAGCAGGAGCAGCAAGGGCCCGCGGGCAGGCACACGCCCCGGCTGGCTCACGCACCAGGGCAGACTGTCCAGTCCCRCGGGCCCTAAGCTTTAGAAGAAATCAGGTGGGGCTGGGATTGTGCTCAGCAGCAGAGCGCTCGCCTAGCACGGGCGGGACCCGGGTTCGATCCTCAGCACCACATAAAAATAAAAGGAACTGTGTTGTGTTCATCTACACCTAAAAAACCAATAAATATTAAAAAAAAAAAGAAATCAGGCAATATTTAACTGTTTTGATCTGAAAGATCGCTAGGGTGAATTTTTAGGTAAAGAACAAGCAAGCACAACATTTGCTTGTGTTTGCATTGAATGAAAAGAGGGCAAAATGACAATACCAAATCTGTCATTTTAAACCATCATAAAAGTGGGGAGCCAAATACTAACATGGCAGTCTACCCAAGCCACCTGGAGTTCAGGAAGGAAATCAGGGAACGCAGCATTCACCATGTTTCAAATATCAAAACTTACAACTGCGGCTTTGACCACAGGCACTTCTTGCCTTGGGCTCCCCGGCACACAGGCCCCCGCCAGACCTCCAGGTAGCWCGTGGACTCCACCTGGTGTGGTCCTCTGTCCCCAGGAGGTATCCCTTGCCATGATGGTCTACTGCTGACCCTTCCCATCTCCTGGCTGCCTGAAGCAGGACCCCTTCAGCCAGGTCTGACTAATTTTCTAAAAATTTCAACTTTTGAGGGGTTAGAGAGGGAAGGGGAGGTGACAGCAGGTGAAGGGGCTGGAGAGCTTATGGCCAATCTGTACCTTGCTGCTTTTTTCTTGTTTTTTCTTGGGGAGGGGGCGGGTACTGGGACTTGAACCCATACATAGGGCCTTTACCACTGAGCTACATCCCCAGACCTTTTTTTTTTCTTTTGTGGTGCTGGGGATTGATCCCAGGGCCTTGGGCATGTGAGGCAAGCGCTCTACCAACTGAGCTAGATCCCAGCCACTTAGTATTTTTTTTATTTTGACAGGGTCTTGCTAAGTATTGGAGTATCTTGCTAAGTTGATGAGGCTGGCCATGAATTTGCAGTTCTCCTGCCTCAGCACCCAAAGTTGCTGGGGCTATTGGTGCGCACCACTCTGTTGCTTTCTCAGTAAAGAAACCTGTGTGATATTCTTTCCCACAGCCACCCTGGGAGATGGAGGGCAATCTCTCTGCAGCTGTGACCTTGTACACAGCCACCCTGGAGGATAGAGAATATCCTGCAGCTGTGACCTTGCCACAGCCACCCAGGAGGATGGAGGACAACCTCCCATTTTGACCTGCCACACTGGAGGTCAATAAGAGGTGCTGGAGAGGAGGTGGGAGGATCATGTCTCGTTCCCTGGTTTCTCTACACTGAATTCTTTCTTACTCTATCAGTGTTTTTCATATGCACTATTAGGGCCCATATGGTGCACAGAATTACTGACATTTGAGTTTTCTTCTGTTCAATTTTTGTAAAAACCAAAAAAAGAAAACAGTAAAACCATTTATRGAYTATGAAATGCTAGAAAGTGCCAATCACAAAGCAGGTAACCTTGGTTTGTCTGGCATCTGAATGGGCTGCCCAGCAGCAGAGCCTGTGGCATCACCAGAGTGGCCCAAGAATGACCTGACCCCGATACCCGCCCCCAACCCCGTCTTGGGAGGACTCTGAATTTTTCTAGTAGAAACAGGTCACAACTGCAGCATGCCCCAGGTTCTCCTCCTCCCTCCCGACCTGCATGTCTCCTTAGTGGCTTCTTATCAGTGAGCTGCCTGTAGGTCCCGCCGCAGCTCCTGGCTCACSAAGCAGCTGCTCCAGACCACTCACCACGCCTTCCCTTTCTTGTTAAGGGCACCACTGAAGCCCATGGGTCTCCTGGGGCACGGGTGGCACCTGTATCATTGTGACCTGCCAGTTCCTGCCCCACCTCCTTGGAGAAAGCAGTGAGACCGAGAGGCCCCATCTGGAGCGAGGCGCGCACCTTTCCCACACTCGGCRCACAGGTACTCGCGGATGTTGTCATGCACGCGCATGTGCTCCTTGAGCATGTCCTTCCTGGCGAACGACTTCCCGCACTGCTCGCAGGCGTGGCTTTTCACACCTGCAAGACCAGGCAGCATTTCCAAGGGTGGTGCTGGCATGGGCCACCTCTCCCCAGCCTGCACAGAGCCGCCCCAGGGTCCCTGGCCTGGAAAATTCCCGAGGACATGGAGGGGGCTGGGCCATGAGCACAGGGTGGTGGGGGTCGGAGAAGCTGGGGGACAGCAGAATGTACTCGGGGGAGGCCAGGGGCTGCCAGCTCAGGTGCAGGGCGAGCCCTGGCAACCCCAGCACTGCCTGCTCAGGCCCCACTCCTGTGGGAACAGGCTACCTGTGTGGATGAGCTTGTGACGCTCCAAGTTCCCGATGCTGTTGAAGATCCGCCCACAGATCTCACAGGGGTGAATGTATCTGAAACCAAAGAGGAGCTTCAGGACGCRGCACAAGCTGAGTGGCCCGTCAGGGAGAGGGCACGCTCCTAACACCTTTATAGGCACAAGTGAGGCAGACGGTGCCACGTGTGGACAAAGTGGCACATGCTTCAGCTCTATGATGGGCGAAACCGTGTGCCCATATCCCCGGGGAGTAGCCCCAGCCCCAGCCCTCAGACAGTGACTGTTTTTGGAGATGGGGTCTTTGGAGATGTGAAGGTAAAATGAGGTCACTGGGATGGCCCTGATCCAATCTAACGGGTGTCCCCAGAGGAAACGATCGGGACACAGGCACACACAGGGGCTGACCCTGTGAGGAAATGGGGTTGGGGGACACCACTGGCCAGTCCAGGAGAGAGGCCAGGGGACAAGCCCATGACTCCTTGGCCTCCAGGGCAGAGCGGAGGCTGTCTTCTGCGTTGACCCCCAATCTGCACTGGGTCACAGGTGCCCTGGGAGACCAGGCTAGCCTGCAGGCAGCATGTCACCCGCTCGCCACACAGCCCTGATCACGTGCCACGTGCCAGAGCCGGGGCTGGCACCAGGGAAACCGAATCACTGGGAGGAACGGATTMATGTCCTTCAGCTGGGCTGATAACTGGGCTACTTCTCTCCGAAAGTCCCACCGGGGAGGCGAGGGTGAGGTCTGGGTGGATGGGCACCCAGAGCCCTGGCGCAGCCCGGGCCTGTGGGCCGAGCACCCTGCCCTGCCTYGCTGCCCACACCCACTGCACTGCGGGGCTGTGAGCTGGGAGCCTCACTTCTGCACGTTGGGGTCGGGCAGGTTCTCGCGGTGGATGACCATGTGGGCGTGGTAGGTGGCCTTGAGGGCGAAGCGCCGGTGGCAGGTGCTGCAGCCGTAGCCCTTCTCCTTGTGCACCTCCATGATGTGCTTCAGGTATTCCTTCCCGCGGCCGAAGGTGAGCTGTGRGGCAAGCCAACCGCTGACACCCCAGGCTCTGGGCCTCTGCTGCACCAGAGGTCACCAGGCCCCATAGGGACCATACTGTGCGGGGCCAAGGACACCCAGGGGCTGGCAGGAGCTGCACATTCCTGGCAGGCGTGCCTGCCGGGTGGCTGTCACTCGCACAAGCTGACAAAAACTCAGGCGGGGTCCCCGGAAGTGAGYTGCCTCCCTTTAAGACGCCTCCTCTGAGCACAGGGGAGACCTGGAAGGGCTTCAGGATGGAGCGGGGAGAGGGACAGAGGGAGCCTTGCCTGGGCCAGCGCCTGTCCTACCCTGCTCAGCACTGCCTGTGTAGGTGCAGGGCACCCGGTGCTGGGCTCTGCAGGGCTGTGAGCCCAGTCCCCCTCCCTGGGCCCCGGAGACCTGGCCTTTAGAGGCAGGCCCCTCCCATACTTGCACGGGTGCCCTGGGGTCCCTGCAGCGTCACAGCTGGGAGTCACCTCCTGGCATCTCAAGGGTGGCTGGCCCGAGTACCTGGCACCTCTTGCAGCTGTACTTGTGGGGCTCCGAGTCCGCGCTCTCGTCGGAGTTGTCATCGTTCTCCTCTGAGGAGATCCCGATCTTGCCGATGAACTCCTCCCGCTGGTGGTCGTCCATGAGCGCAATGTCCTGGGGAAGCCACATTCCTGCCTCATGCGTGCCCAGCTCTGCCCGGCATGTGCAAGGCTGATGAGCCAGGCCCAAGGCACTACCTTGCTGTGTCTGAGGACCCCGGGCCTCCCGGCCCCCTGGCCACCCGCTCACGGCCTGGAGTGCCATGCTCTCCTGCCCCGCCTTCTCACCCCCTCTCCAAGGCCCAGAGAATGCCACCTCGTGCCCAGGGCAGAGCTGATGGAGGCTTCCCAAGTTGGCCCGGGCGCTCCCCAGCCTGTTGGGCCTTTGGTTCCAACTGCTATTTCCTCCTTTTTCTCTGGGGTCAGTACTTCTGTGGCCTGAATCACAACAAGGCCACCCTCCAAGGARGGAGGGACAGAGCACCACCCACATGCTACTCTCCCCAGTCAGGCCCACACCGAGGAGCCGCACTTCAAGCCGCAGCTGGACCGTGTCGCTAGCTCATGCAGGCATGGAAGTCAGCCTGAAAAGATTCACGGTGGCCATRCTGACAATCGTTTTGGGGGACAGTGAAGGTCTGAATGTCTGCACCCCTCAAATTCATGTGCTGAAACCTCAGCCCCAAGGTTATGGTGCCGGGAATTGGGCCTCCGAGGTGGCAAGGCCACCATGGTACGTCCCTTGTGACTGGGACTGGTTTCCTGCAAAAGGCCCTGGAAAGCTCCCCCCACCAGGTAAGGACACAGCGGACAGCAGCCTCGGCCCTCGCCACCGACTCTGTTAGCTAAGATACTGGCCCGGGGCCTGGCACTCTGTGCGTCACTGGGAAGCTGGCGCATGCCTGACACCTTGAAGTGGACGTGGATGTGGTCCCTGAGCACGTCCACGCGGAAGAACTTGCGCCCGCAGATCTCACAGGTGTACTTCTTGTCGCCGTGGGTCAGCAGGTGCTTGTTCATGTTGCTGCGGCAGGAGAATACCTGGGGGCAGAGGGGCCGCACCGTGGGGAGGTGAGGGCTGTGCCCATGGCACACAGAGCAGACTGTCACCTCGGCCCACAAAACACAGGGCGACTTCTCCTAGACTCTAAGCCCCAACAACTCAAGTGTGAGAACCGCACGCCATCCCTGGCACTGGAGCAGGGTGACCCACTGTTTGGATCCCTGCTCACGCCACAGTCYAGAAAGGGCCCAGCCCTGTCCTCACTGTGGCTACAGCTGCTCGAGGGCTTCCACGGGCACTAAGTGTTTTGCTAGCATGGTCCCAAMCAAGAGGCCAGCGAGTCAGAAACAGTGCAGCTTTGGGAAGGTGGATGTCAGAGAAGGAGCCAACCCTCAGTGAGTGTGCGGGGCTCCTGCACACTCGCCCCACATCCCTGCKGTCCTGGCATTCCCAGTGTGGTAATGTCCATCGCACACTCGTCCCCAGGGTCACCTCTGTGGAAGCCCYTCTGCCCACCGACGGAGGGGTAGACAAGGCAGGCAGCTGGGTGTCTCCACCTGGATGGCGTTCCCGGTGGGTAGGTAACAGTGCAGGTGTCTGGAGGCACCTGCCTGCCCAGCTTGTACTTGTCCCCTAGCTCTGCAACCTCCCACTCTGGACCAGACACCAAATCTTTGCTGTAGTTCAGGTTCATGGGGACCCCGAGGCCACACTGCACAGTTGTCCCATGAGCTTTGCCTTGCTCTGAGGTTTAAAAAAAAAAAAAAAAATCAGAAAATCTCATATAAAAACATGGATTTCCATTTTTCCCTGAAAAGGTCAAAAGATCTAGCATTGGTGCCACATGCTGGCAGGCAGGGACCACCAGTGTGAAGAGACCTGTGTCCCCGGGCTGGGGCGCCTGGCATGTGACTGCCGCAGGAGCCAGCATCAGGTGCTTYACGTGAGCCGTGTGGCTGTGACAGRTCCAGGAACGCCCCCTCCTCTTGGTGACTCCCAAGACCACTGGGTGACAGCAGTGCCATGTGGGAACCTTTCTGGGCAGCTCCACTGCGGCACCTGCCTGGATGCTGCGAGGACATGAGTCCTCTGAGGAATAGTCGGCAACACCCAGGGAGTGGACATTGCGGCCAACACAAGCAGCAGCACCCTTCTCCAAACCAGGTTCTCATCTGCAAGAAATGGGCCGTGCCTCCACGGCAGCCCGCAYGGCGGTGGCAGCCCGCAGGATGGGTTCTGAGCAGCAGACGCACGTCCCTAGACACCAGGTCACACCAGAGCAGCCACTCTGGGCACGGGGGGACTGCTCATATGGAGGCTGTCACTTGCTGTCTGGATGTCAGGTGTCCCCAAAGCTCCTGCTGATGCAGGAAAGTGCAGAGGTGAAGCGGCTGCACTGTGAAGGCTGTGACCCGAGAAGTCCAGCCCAGCCTGGAACCGCTGGCAACTACAAACAGGTGGGGYGTGGCTGGGGGGTCACTAGCMGCCCCGGAAGGGGGCCTCTTCCCCAGCCCCTCTGCTCCCAACCTGCCAAGACCCGAGCGGCTTTCCTCCACTGGGCCCTTCCCCATGATGTCCCGCCTCTCCTGGGCCYAGCAGTGGAGTTGGCATCTATGGGCTGAGACCTCTGAAACTGTGAGCCCCAAACCCACCTTTCTTCTTCTAAGTTGTTCTTATCAGGTATTTTGGTCACAGCAACAAAAAGCTAACCACAGCCATCACCATGGAGGGTCCTCTGTAGSCCTGCCTCAGGAGTGGTCACCAAGAATGGCTCATCTCTCCCTTAGAAAAGGTGGCCTGCCTTTTCTGGGCAGGGGAGACCAGCAGGACAGGCCACATACAGCTCTGTGACCTCCCACTTCCTTTGGTGCCTGGGGCCAGGTCCGACCACAAGGACGAGATCCAAGGAGTGGGAGCCACAGAGCAGCGMGGGCGAAGCTCACAGCAGAGGGGAAGGGCTACGGAGGAACAAGTGCGGCCTCCGCACATTCACTGGAAACCCATCCTCGGAGGCAGAGACCGAGCGGCAGGTGTGGGGTGAGAGGACAGCTGTTAGACCCCAGCAGYAGCCGCCGCCCTCAGAACTCCCCGAGGTACTCGGGCCAGGCAGCCCGGGGCCTTAGTCAGGAAGCCGCACCCGCCCTCACGGCTCCATGCCCCTCGCAGACATTACCTTGCCACACACCGGGCATCCGGAGGGCTCCTTCTTGTAGCGCACCAGGCTTTCCCCGCCAGCCTCCAAGTCCTCTCTCTTCACCCGCCGCACTCCTGAAATCCCCGAAACCCCCACCAGGCAGAGTGAGCACACAAGGAGCAGGTGGGGTGGAGCATGGCCGGCCCTCCCAGCTGGACAGCGGGCAGGAATGCCCTCAGAGGATGGACCAGCTGCCTACACACCGGGGCACCAGCAGCAAACAGCAGCTCCTGGGGAAGGAAAGTGTTGTGCTGCCTGCAGGACTGGCAAGGGCCTCGCACACAAGGCTGCAGAGCTTGGGYACCCAGCGCCGGGCCTCAGCACACAGCTGCGGTGCTCTTGTGCCAGCACCTGATCCGAAAGCTCGAGGCCGAGCGAGTCCTGCAGATGGCTGTAAGCAGGCAGACTTTCATTTTTTTATGAAAAAGATACTAATTTTCATGTCTTCTAACTAAAATCAGTCAAATCAGGATCAGAATTAAAAAGACAGCAGGTAATAAAATCTCTGGTTTTAAGGAAAAGTTTTCAAGACCTGGGTTAAAACAGACTTTTTTGCCAGGTATGGTAGCACATGCCTCAGCAATTTGGGAGGCTGAGGCAGGAGGATTTAAGTTTGAGGCCAGCTTTAGTAACTTAGTGAGGCCCTAGGCAACTTAGCAAGACCCTATCTCAAAATAAAAAATAAAAAAAGGCTGGGGATGTAGCTCAATGGTAAAGCACACCCAGATTCAATACCTAGTATTAAAGAATAAACAAAACAGACTTTTAGAGGCACTGTGACATTTAATTGAGATCCCAATATTTGGGAGGCTGGGGCAGGAGAGCAGTTGGCGCCCAGGGGTTCAAAACAACATGAAATTCAAGTCAGAGCTCATGTGAAACAGGTCATTTCTCAACCAGAGAGAAACACGTCTTTAGGTCCTCAGGTCTTGAGCCATGGGCAGAGCCAGCGYGTACGCATCAGGCAGAGTCCAGAAGGCTCCAGGGCACAAAGGTGCCACGCACGGGGTCTGAGGCAGGGTGTGGTCTAGATGAAGGAAACACTGCAGAATGGCCTCAAGGCCACGAGCAGACGCCACAGAAAAGGGGTCTGGGTGAGGTGTGAGTTATGGCTGCCGCCCAGCCACCTGGACATGGGGACAAGGGGCCTCTGACAGGGACCACAGTGGCAGGCGGCTACCAGCACTTGCTCCGTGCTGTGCCCTGCTGAGAGCTGGTTGAGCAGGGTCTGGTGCGGCCTGACAGGGACCTGGGGATGGGGCCACTGTCCCCGTGCAGAGAGCCCRTGCAGCTGTGAAGCGCCCCGGAGGCTGGCTGTGGGTCTCTATGGAGCAGTGCAGGGAGGGTCTGCTGAAGACCCCGTGGGCTGCAGCCCAGCCTTGGCTGTAAGRGCCCGGGGCACAYGAGGACACAGGCGTGCTCACAGAGYACAGCAGCYGCGGCTTCACCCCRGCCCCSTCGCAAGTGCGCGGCTGCGGTTCTCCGTGACGCTCCAAGGGTCAGTGAGCTCAGCTCACGAGGGCAGCTGCCCMGGGACTGCCGGAGCGAAAACAGTGAAAACACGCGACATCCTGAGACAGGCCCTCGGATCACCCCGGGGTCCCCCAACCAGCAGCAGCTGCACGGYGCGCACAGGGCTCTTCCTAGGTCTACGGCAGCTGGGCCACTGCTCGCCCCCAGCCCAGCTCCCTGGGTCCCATTCACACTGCTGCTGCCTCCAGGGTCCAGACTGGCCCTGTGGATGGCCCTTCTCTGGCTCTTCGAGCCCTCTGTGAGGACGGACAGCCCCAGGCCAGTTGTGCTGGTGACCACGAAGGTACAGAGTGTGAGGAACGAGGGACAGTTGTGGCCCCCCAACAGCGCCTAGCAGCTCTCTGCGCTGCACTCTGCTGAGAGCCCACTGTGCGCCTGACGGCCAGCTCCTCTGACCTGCTGTCCCACTGGAATTACTGTCATACATGTTATAAAACCTTTAAACCCTACGCACCAGGGTCCTCGGAGTCTCTCCAGGGTTCCTCCGATCGCTCACAATACCACCCCCACCCCTTGGGCTCTACATGCTGGCCGGGCCTGAGGAGCCACGGGGCAGGCAGCGGGCATTTCCGGGCACTGCCTAACTGCTTCCACGGAGGCGGCAGGACGACGCCGTGGCCCCCAGCCCTCCCTTCCYGGGTGCCTGCGGGCCCACCTTCCAGGTGCCGCCTCTGGTGGTCCAGCATGACGTCCTTGCGGTAGAACATCTTGCTGCAGACCTCGCAGGCGAACTTCTTGTCCCCGTGCTTCTTCTTGTGCTTGGAGAGGTTGCTGTTGGTGGAGAAGAATCTGAAACACATCTCACATTGGAACGTCTTGTCATCTGTCCGGAGAGCAAACACACACACAAGGATCCGGGTGAATATCTCCTGGCCCAGGCTCACGTGTGTCTTGGTGCTAGAGAAGGGCAGRGCTGGGGCAGGAGCCTGCCCAGCACGCGGGCCTCCCCATGCCGGGCACACGGTGAGCAYGTGCACCCCACAGCCCTCCTCCTTCCCAAAACTCGAGCCCTCCAGCCTGCGCCCTCAGCTCGTCCACCTGTACCACCCAGACCCCAGGGGGCTGTCCTCCCCCTCGAGGCTCAGCCCACCTGCCCCCCACGRCGCCCTCCACAGGCTCCTTCCCCACCACACAGCGCCTCAGAGTTCTCCACTGTCCGCAAACTGCCTCCTAGTTCTAGGTATCCCTTTAGTGGACAAATCACACCCACACACACTCCCACACTCTCCAAGCCCCCAGCRATACCCACACCCTGTGCCCTGGGTCCTAAATCTAGTCCCTTCTTGAAGGTAGCCCATCAAGCAGCAGRTCCTACCCCTCAGCTCCCGAGTTGCTCCATGCCATCTCTGTCCCATGGCACCCTCCCTCCCTCCACATACAGGGCCCCGGCTCCTCTCAGYGAGCGCTGCAGAGCTGCCCTCCTCCCCATGCTGCGGTGCAGTGGACCTGACGCAGGTAACACAGGTGTGTGACGCACCAGGCTCCAGCCCACGGACCAATTCCCACACAGTATGTGTTGCCAGGCACGTCCCTGAGGCCACAGGAAGAGCCGCTGTGCTCTGCTGCCCCCTGTGCTGGCCCTGCCTGCTACACTGGAGCCACCATGGACCCAGGTGCTCCGGGGCTGACGTCTGAGCTGGGTCACCTGCCCTGGGCCCTGGGGATGCAGAGTAACAGCCTGGCCTCTACCCACTAGACGCTGCATTCCCGCTGGCCCCAGGCAGCTGTGACGCCCGAGATGCCCCAGACACTGCCCCTGCCCCCTGCAGTTGAGGCCTGCTGGCCAGGACGTCTTTAGCTTCACTCAGGTGGCTCCAGCGGGAACCTAGGGAGGGAAGACCACACGCACCCAGGGTCACGCAGCCGCCCTCCCACCCCAGCAGGTAAAGGCACGAGGACAAGCCCTCTGGCTTGGGAGCCGAGGGGAGGGGGCAGTGGGGACAGCAATGTCTCTGTGGGCTCCATGCCCAGCAGGACAGCAGGGTGCAGGCCCTGCATGAGGCCTCCACCACCCGGGCCAGGAGAAGCTGTCAGGAGGACACTAGGCAGCCTCCCTTCCCCGCCATCATTTTCATGGTTACGCTGGTCCCTCTCGARGCGATGCGCGGTTTCTTTGTGGCCCAGTACTGGAAAGCTTTGCCCCCTTCGGGGCCTGCTGCACGTGCACACTCATGCACCCCCTGCAGGACGCGTGTGCCAGTGACACGCAGCATTTTCACCATGGTTTCCAAGGGTGCTCGGAGTTCTACCTGGTTCATCTACCGTGACTCCGCGATACCTGGTACTGCAGGTGACTCAGCAACACACCCCTCAGTGGTGCAAGTTACCTYCCACTCACTTCCTAAATATGCATCCTCAGGAATGGGTACGCTAGGGACCCRCTGCTGTGAGACTTTGTGAGTCACATCGGTAGGTTGTTCCATTAAATCACCAAAGACCCCCCCACACCTGGGCCTGCTGAGCAGCCCAGGGGAGCCTTCTTCATGGTAGTGCTGAGCAGCCCAGGTAAGCCTCTTTCAGCGGAGGGCTCACTAATCTGGGGGCCTGGCACCCTGGGACACAACAGTGCTGCGCTGGGTTACGGCATTCTCTGTCCCAGCTATGGAAAGAGACCCCCACTTCAAACCATCCCCTGAGCCCASAGTGTCCTGTGCTCAGTGAGGGCAGAGCTGGGGCAGGGCCGTCTGGACTCCGCCTCCTGACCCCCACACATGGAACCCAGACAGGCTCCGTGTCCCAACGACCCCACTGCCAGGGAGGTCCACATTGAGGAGGTAATAAATGCAGCACTGAGGACAGACGCCTGGGGCCTGGGAAGGGTGCACCTGAGGGGACGTGGACTGCTAGGAGCCACCCTCTCAGAGAATGAGGGTCCCCCTGTGCCTGAGGACAGGAGTGCTCCTCTGCCGCTCCCTAGCACCCTCTTCAGGTCRAAGACAGCAGTGAACACAGATAAGACAGCAACACCAGTCACAGCACAGGGACACAGGGACCCAGGGGACCCARGAGGACACAAAGATGGGTCTGCTGGGCAGCTGGTGAAAAGCCTGCCAACCACGTCTTCAGACTTTCCCTCACTGGACAAATCTGAGCTCAATGGTGGTAGGGATGTGCGTTCCCCTAGGGCAGCACCCCAGAAGGCCAAGGGCACAGAGTCGTGCAGATGAGCAGACCACAGGCCGCCTTCCATTTCAGCCGTGGCTCRAACCTTGGAAACAGAGCCTCCAAGGAGGAGAGCTGCCCACTGCCCACCTGCCCTGTCCTTTCTACACAGCCCACAGAGACAAGGTCGGGCTCAGCAGAACTCTGAGCTGGCAGGTATCTGCTACTGCTCTGGTCACCTTGCTTCATTGGGTGCGGAAAAACAGTTAGAAGAGGACAGCGTCTCTTTCCCAGGCCTGACTGGCCAGTAGCAGAGTGAGGCTGGCCTGTCTGCCTGCCAGGCCCTGGCACACCTGAGAAGGGGGCTTTGAGTCAGGATGCAGCATGCTGGCCGTTCACCTGGAAGCTTYTGGAGGCTGCACCTGCCCCAGACAAGAATGCTCCAGGTGCAAAGGCCCAGAGAACACGGCCCCGCTGCCCTGCTCAGCCTGACGCAGCAAGGAAGGCGCCCTGGGCCCAGGCAGAGGGGACAGGCCACGGTCTCAAAGCAGAGTCTTCAAAACAGAAGAAACACACAGACAGACAAATGGGGAAGAGTGGCAGACACAGGGAGGACAGCCCGGTTGGGCAGCAGGGGCAACAGGGCTCAGAGACACGGCGGCTGGCCAGCACCCCAGCGAGGGCTCACACGGAGGCGCGGACGGACAGCACGACCAACAAGAACAGGTGGGGTTGAGGGCTAACCTGGTAGGTCTCTAAGCCGATTGCCACGGGTCCCCCCCTCTCCCGGGTTTGCTATGAGTCCTAGAGAGAGGGAGAACACAAAGCAACAGTGACCCTCCCTCCGCTCCCTCTGGACTGCCCACTACTTGGGCCTCCACTGGGGCAACTGGGGGAAGCAGGGCTCCCCCACCCAGTGGGGTGCAGCCAGGCAGGACAGGTGCCCGCTGGTCCCACAGCCTGGCTTCCCTCCTCACGGACGTGCCTCTGTGTTCACGTTTCATGGCTGCTGTGAGCACAGCCTGAGGTGTCCCGCCAGGGAGGCCGCCTCCCCAGCACAGGCTCCACGGAGCACAGAGCTTCCAGCCTCTCACGACAATTACGCGGTTTCGCTCTCCTTTTGGGGACTGGTGGACAGAGCAGGCTCAGAACCAAGTGACCTGGGCAGGGAGGCAGCAAAGCCCTCTGCTGGGTGCCAGCAGGGACGCAGGTGAGACAACAGGTGGAAAACTGTCCCCCAGGTGCGGGGCCCTCTCTTCCCCAGCCCTGTCCCCACCTTCCCGTTTCTCTCAGGGGCCCTGCTCCACGGTGGCCTTAGACAGGGGTCCCAGGAGCACAGGAAAGGACACACATCCTCTGTGGCACGAGCACTTCTGACCTATCTCCAGAGTAAGTGGAGACTGCACCCAGGCAGAAGGAGCGGGAGGTCCAGCTGGCTGCTCGCTGCTCAGCATGGCCTTGCTTCTGAGGCTCAGCCTCTGCCCTGCTGAGCACGGGCCACATGGGATGGGACAGCCCTGCGCAGCCTCACCTGTGCGGCAGTTGTGAAACTCCAGTGCGCTCTCCATGCGGAAGGTCTTCCCACAGGTGCCACAACGGTACCGGTACTCGCCGTCCACCTGGTTGAGGAGACACGTCAGCAAGGGAGGCCCACACGTGGGGCCAGACCACTCCCTCCTGGGCTGGCTATGCCASAGCCCTTCTCTCCTACTCCACCTAGGGGCTGTCCAGCTGCCCTGGAGGGAGAACCATGCTGGGAAACCAAACTCCAAGCACCCATCACTCCACCCCATGCCCCGCCGACATCTACCAGGCTGGGCAGCTGGCGGAGGCCAGGGCCGGAGGACAGGGTGCAGCAGGACTCCAGGAGCCTCAGCTCCTTACAGCCTGTTCCCCAGGCTACCAGTCCACCCACCTCGTTCCTGCTGTGCTTGTAGGAGACGTGCTGCTTCAGGCTCTCCTTGCGGCTGAACAGCTTTGCACATTCTTCACACTTAAACAGCTTGTCACCTGAGGAACCGAAGGAACCAGGTCACTGCTTCAGGCACTCACCAGGCAGGCCGCCTGCTCTGCTGATGCCCAGGTGCGTGGGAAGCTCTGTGCCCCTGTGCGTCGGGACGCGGCCGGGCACTCACCGTGGGAGCGCACGTGCCTGCTCAGGTTGCTGCTGTTCTGGAAGACCTTGCTGCAGATGCCACACTGGTGCACCCGCTTGTGCTCCCCCAGCTGCCGCGCCAGCTTCCGCCGGATGCCGTGTCTGCTGGACAGAACCAGGCTCCTCTTGAGGGCGATGGTGCTGCTCTGATGGTGAGTGAACCTGCCCGGTCGAGATAGGTGGAGACTCAGCGCCCAGAGAGCACGAGTCCAGGTTGCCGTCACCTTGGAGGGGCCTCCCACCAACACCTGCCTGAGACAGAGACTGCCAGAGAGGAGGGCAGGGCCGGCGCCACCGCAGCTCCCGGTGGCTCACAGGCAAGGCCTGGACTTCAGGCAGCACCCACCAGGTGCCCTGTGACAGACACACTTCCTACTCTGCTGCCACTCGGGCCATCAGACGGCCCGGAGCTCGGGTGGAGCCTGGACTGTACCACCTGTGTTCCAGTGTCCCTCTTGGTCCTAGTCACAGGAGCCAGAGACGCAGAGATGGAGTGAGGCATCCTCATTGGGATGCTCTCATGCCTACAGAGGAGGCGTGCCAACATGCGACATCATGGACAGACCTGCAGAACAGCAGGCCAGGTCCAGGGGACGACCACTGCAGGCTACTTATGTGGACCGGGGCACTGCRGGTGCCAGCAGCAGGGGGAGACGGGAGTCACATTGGATGGGGACAGGGTTTCATTGTGGGGGCAGGAGGTTCTGTAGATGGATGGCGGTGATGGCCACAGAACACCTGTGCCTCCAGCTGAGCACTTAAAGTGGCCAGAGTGGTGTGTTTCATGTCACRTGCACTTTGTCACCACAAAAAAAGCCTCAACTTCCCACAGTGGATGACCAGTAAGCTCCTGAGCTCCAGAACATTCTGATGCTTCCCAGGCATGCAGGGCTCTGAGGGCAGCCCGTGCCCACTCATGGGGCTCCCTGGGCRGGTAGCCACAGGGCGCTCCCCCAGAGGCTGCAGCGTCCAGGCAGGACTTACTTTGGCACCGAGCTGACGTCRTGTGTGTGAGGAGCCAGCTTTCCCAAAACCAGCTCCACCATCCGCTCATCTGGAGTTGCACTCACAGGCTCRTCTGGCGGGACCTCGGTGATGATCTCGGCCACGTGCTCTGTGCAAAGGGGACATGACAAGCCATGTCATTCCCTGGACGGGGACAAAGCCCGTCCATTCCAGGAGCGTGTGTTCTTTATGACAGCAGAGGGCTGCAATGGTGGACCATTTGTTGAAGTTCAGAAAGGAAGAGAAGTAGGCTCACTCGGAGCCCCACGCTTGTGCCTTCCCAGTACAGAGAGACAGAACAGCTCCTGGACCCAGGGAGCTTCGTCATGGTGGCTCTGTTTCAAGCTACATCGCTGTAACGTTACTTGCCTCTCCAACACATTCTGTACAGATAATGGAATCTTTTAATTTATAAACTAGTTCAGACAAACGTAGAACTTTTAGAATTAGACACACCACCTGGAGAGTGTTCAAAAAGCAAGTAACCATTCTGTAAAAGAGTCAAATGTCAAACACCCACAGTGACAGGCCCAGGCCAGGACAGGATGGATGAAACCTGGAAAGACCACGCCCAACGTGCCGGCACACCTCTCCAGCCACGAGTGACAGTGGGACACCCCTCTGCCCCTTCCCACCTTCTCCACCCCCCGGGAGAGCAAACTGTTCCTCCTCTGTCTCTTCCAAACCAGCTGGGCSGGGTGGGGAGGACAGGCAGAGTGGGGACCACCCGCAGAGCTCCTCCAACTCCAGGACTTTCCTCGTTCCCAAGAAACCCCGGGGCCGCCCAGAGTCAGAAGAAAGTCCAATCCCGTGGTGTGGGTGGGAGGGGCTGGCCTCTGACCACATGCCCTGTCCTCAGGCATGAGGCCACTGGGACTCTGCTGCAGCCAGCAGCTCGGGCAGAGGCCTCGCGAGGACTGCAGGGCCGAGCTCTGTGGAGGCTGCACACACGGGAAGTGAGGCCTGCATGATGAGCTCCACCAGGGCCGGCCCCAGAGGCCACGCACAGGAGTGGGTGAGCAAACTGTGGGCATCTGCACGATGGGCCAGATGCTGTCAGTGCTCAGGAGACGGCCACTGACAGACCTGACGGACAAGCCTCATGCCTGGACGCTCCTGTGAGAAGCTGGGAGTCTTGGCACGGGCAGCCTAATCCATGCCCAAGACCACAGGGGAGTGCTGGGAGGCAGGAGTGTCCTCTGTCCCGATGGCAGGATAGGTCACACGGTRTGCGGGGTTGCCAGGCTCCATAAGCCTTTTGTGTACCATGTGTCACGGAGAAACTGCATTTCACAGGGCTGAGGGGTCAGGGCGGGCTCACAATGGCAGTCCCCTCGTGGCCTCTGTGTAGAGGGGAACAGGTGAGTGGTCCCAGGCCAGCGTGGCCACCCCTCAGCCAGCATGGTTCTCACCTGCTGGCTCTTTGTCCTCCACGATGACCAGAGGCTGCTCCGGCTTTGATGCTTTGGGTTTTCTCCCCCTTCGAGGCTTTTTCTTCTGCTCTTTGGTGGCCCTGCTCTGGACACTGGCACTCTCCGGCACTGMAGGGGGCTGCACCCGGGGCGGCTGAGGCTCCTTCTCTGGGGCGGCCTCATGCTGGCTGCCAGCAGGAAGGCCTTTCGCTTGCTCCAGGTGGCCCAGGAGATGCTCTGCAGGAGGGAGCAGCAGTTAGGAGCAGTGTGCCCGCCCTGCCCCGTCCTGTTCCCACAATGGGCCCTCCGCACGGGAAACAAAGACCACACGCCACTGCACCCAACACAGCAAGCCAGGCCTCCCTTCTCCGACGTGCCCGCGGCCGGAGCTTTGCAGACTCCGGAGGATGTGGACTTGGGGTTTCAGGACTTCACAGCCTTTCAGAGGAGGGATGCCCAATTTATAAATCACGTGAGGAAGGCAGGGCAGGTTCACCACAAAGGCAGCTTCGCACACCATGAAAGCACACGCAGACACCAGCACAGAACACACGCACAGGGCGCCCTCTTCTGTGACGCAATTACAGGTGACACCTTTAAGCTCATTTTTATTTTCTATTTATTTTAGTTTTATTTTCTTATTTTTATTTTTAGTTTTTCTGCAGTGAATAAGTGGCACTTACTAAAAAGGTAACATCTGAAGAAGACGATTAAGAAAAACTCAACCCATAATAAAATTTTCTTTAAAAACACTACATCAAAGCAAAAGGGCTTTGCTCTGTGTTCAACTTGGGAAAGCCTGGGAGAGTGCAGTGGGCAGACCACAGAGAGCACAGGAAACRGCAGGCAGGGATGGCACTCAAGGCCAAGGCGGTCACCATGGCAAATGGAAGGCAAATGGCTCAGAGGAGCTGAGCTACCGGGCACAGAAAGGAGGAGGAGGGAGTGTCCAGGGGACGAGGGGACCAGGCACATGCAGAATGGAGACCCCTCTGCAAACTCGTGCCAAAGACCAGTTCTTCCCATGGAAAACCTGAACTTTCACCATGGGCACAGGCGTCAAGAGGCTGTTTCTCCTCATTGGTTCAGTATTTAGAGGAACCTTGCGGGAGAAGCAGCCCCCAAACCCGGGTCCAGTGTAGGAAAGACAATAAGAAAGACACAGCCAATGTCACACAGCCAACCAGCAGGACAAGTGGTTGAGGAGCCCACCTGACTGAAAACATGGGAGGCAGGTGCCCAGCAAGGGAAACGAGGCCTCTGCCCAACACAGAGAGGGAGCTGACAGCCAGAGCGGGGACACACGCTGAATCAGAGGCATGCCGGGCTGTGGCTGTGGGACAGGCTCTGAGTGCACTCASGGCCCAGGGGCCGGGAGACGCGAACTCAGCTCCGTAACACGGGCACCGTGGCACACCTATGATCCCAGTGACTCAGGAGGCTGAGGCAGGAGGATCATGGGTCCAAAGGCAACCTTAGCAACTTAGTGAGGCCCTAAGCAATTCAGTGAGACCGTGTCTTTAGATAAAATATGAAAAAGGGCTGAGGGTGAAGCTCATTGTCAAGCACCTATGAGTTCCACATGGACTGGGAGACGCAGGCTCAGTTGGCAGAGGGCCGGGGGCTGGGAAATGAGGGCTTCCCTCTCCCCCTTGCACCCAGGGGCGGGAGGCATTTGTGACATCTTCTGGCCATCTGTCAGACACCTTCCCTATGCTCTGCTACATCTCCCCATCTGTGCCCCACCTTCCCAGGAACCCCCTCCCGGACCTCTGCAGGTCTGCGGCCTGCTCCAGGGCAGTKAGGAAGCAGCAGCCCCGGGACGTGTTTCCTGGCAGGTCGGAGCAGGCGTCTGCTGTCCGGGGCTGCAGAGTTTGGCTGGAGTCACTCCTTCTCACCCTTCCTGGGGACCCTGCTGCCTTAACGGCCTGGACCTGCCCCTTCCCATTGGAGCACCCGCAAGCAAGGTCTGTTGCTGGAGCGGCAGCCCGTGGGAAGGTGTCCTCCTGTCTGGACAGAGGCCCTCTTTTTCCAGTGGTCCATCCTCCAGCTTCCAGGGGTAAATGACATAGGGGCTCAAATTGAAGCCCCTGCCCCATGTGAAAATGCCCTTGTTCAAACATAACCTGTAAGCAACACCTGGCCAGGAAAGTGTTTTCATCTGGGGCAGAGCAGGGTGACGCCATTTGGATTCTGTGTCATGTGTCGTTTGCCCTCTGTCTCTCTCTCTTAGGCTCTTCTTCTCATCTCAAGTTTTCATTCATCCGGTGCCGCTGGCCCCTCCAGCGTGGAACCCAGTCCTCAGGCTCTGGGCATGACCTCTGCCCTCCCTTTCCCCTGACCGCCCCTGGCCATGCAGGGCGGCTCAGGGTCCTCCTGCCTTCTCACCTCTTCTCAGGGCGTGCTGTCTTCATGCCCTTCCTCCTGGAAGACTCCCCATGCTGTCCAGCACTGGCCATCAAGCCTCCTCTGCACCACAGCTGTTCTCTCCTGTTACCTGCTGTCCTGAAGTCTGAGACAGCATGCTGCCCTGGCTTCCAGGTGCAGCACTCACCGACTGCTACCTCTGGGGGTTCTGGGCTTGGCTGGGTTTTCAGTTTCCTCAGAACAAGCYGTCTCAAAGGGTGGTTGGGGGGTCTTCTCTTGCACTGGACTTTCTTCAATGTCCACAACACTCATGTTCCAGATGGGTGCATGGGGGCGTGGCTGCGCTTCCCTGCAGGATGGTTGGGGTGAGTGGCCATGTTGTGGGGGACCGCCATCTCTTCTTTCGGATTGGCCAGTTTCTCCCTAGGGATTCCCTCCCTGGAATGAACCCTGGCCGCCCCTGTTCTGGGAGAAGGATTCTATTTTGGAGAAAGACATGAGGGAGAAGGCAAAGGGTCTCACATTTCAGGACTGAGACCTGCCAAGTCCCCGGGGCTCAGCTGCACTCCTGGCGTCCCCAGTCTTTGTTCCTCTGTGCTGGCCCCTCCTGAAGGGGGACCCTTGGTCTTCTGCTGGGCCGACAGGGCAGTGATGCAGCTGAGGAATAGGGCAGCGAGCCAGGGCCTGAGCATGCCAGGCAGACTCCCAGCGACTGCCCTGTCCTCTCCTCCAGGCACGTGGCACTCCCAGCTGCCCACACTTCTGGAGCACTGTGGCAGGAATGGATGTGCTTCCTGGGTCCTGGCCGGTGTCAGTGGCTCCTGCTGGCTTGGTAGTCGTCACCGTCCCACCTGCTAGCTTCCAGGCTGGCCTGCTGCCTCACGCTCCCCACTCTGTATGGACCCATCATTTCCGCAGGATTCCAGAGGGCACTCAATTAGTGCACCCACCGATGCTCCCACCCAGCCAGGGCCTCGGTGGACTCTGAGGCATGAGCAGGTTCCGTGGCACCCATGACAGCTGGCCCTCAGGGGAAAGGACGAGAGCATCTACTTCCCCAGTTAACAACTGCCTCTGGGTCCCGGCCCTCTGCATGGTGGCCTGCAGTGCACAAGCCAACTGCCTGAAGTCACGCTTGCTCCAAGTTCAGCGAAGGAGAAACTCAGAAGTTCAAGTTCAAGGTGGGTTTGGAAGTTAACCAACCTCCAGGACCCTGAAGCTGTGAAATTGAGCCTCCTCATGTCAGACAGGTGAGCCTCCCAGACACTGCCCCGTGGAGGGCAGCTTCGGCACCCTGTGGCCGTGTGCCACGTGGCACCGTGGAGTCCTCGTGCTCCTTGTGACAAGAAGGCAGCACTGCTGTTGCAAACGCATGGTCCATCCTCTGCAGACTGGCTCACCACAGGCTTGGACCTGTCCTCAGTGCCAGTCCACGGTGACACACAGGGCCCTCCACCCTCAGCTCCTGGGCCATCAGGTTGTCCACAGGACACCCCAAGAGAGGCTGCAGCACAAAGGAAAGCCTGTGATGCTGTGGGGGGTTCTGTAGGGTAGGCTGAGGTCAGCAGGGGCCAGGGGCAGGCTGGGCTGACGCATGACCTGGCAGGTCACTGTCCACTCTGGCCTCAGTATGCTCATCTCAAATGGGTGCCGAGCCATACAGAGACTGTTGGAGACCTCAGTCAATGCGTGCTGGTAGAACTCTACCGCCAAAGTGGAGGCATAAAACAAGAAGTGCTCGTGAACTGAGTGACCACATTCCACTCAGGTGCGCTGCCCCTGCTTGCTAGAGTCCCTGCAGCTGGACCTTGTCCATCTCAGATGGCACTCCTAGGAAGCTCAGAAGCAGTGGCTGCTCCCACCTTGCAACAAACACAGAGGCTTCTCACTAAGCCGAGTGTGCGATACACCATGGCCACGGTTAGAAGGCCATCCCAGGACACAGGACCAGAGCACCAAAGCCAGCAGCATCTGTCTCTAAGAGATGGCCACTAAAGAGTGGCCCCTTCCGGTCTGGGAGGAAGCCCCTCACGGGTTCCAGCACGTCCCAACCRCAGGTGATGGAGCAGGGGTCATCCGGCACCCCCAGTCCAGCAGCCGCCTGGGCCACATCCCACAGAGAATACAAGGTCCTGAGAGTCCCCGGGAGGCAAGGGGAAAAGTCCTCCCCGAGCAGAAGAGTGAAGATGACCTGCGCAAGCACAGCCATCCTGTGGGCTCTAATCCATCCTGCCCCCGGACGGCCACTAGATGGGTAAGGCAGCCTGAGCAGACAAGCACCCTGCGAGGAAGCAGCAGAGCAGGGACAGCAGGGGGGCCACGCCCACCTCAAGCCCCTCAGCAGGCGGCTGTGTGGCCATGACAGTGGGGGGCTGACCTGCCCTGAGGAGGGAAAGAGGGGCGGACAGGACAGAGCTGGGACAGGCCGGGAGCCACGGGGAAGAGGTAGTGTGCACATGCCCCCCCCCCCCACTGGCGGCCGTCCCCCACCCGCCAGCGGCTGCCCTTACCGTTGAGAAGCTGCAGCTCSAGGAAGGCGCTGGAGCACACCTTGCAAGCCCACGGGCTGCGCTCCGACTCCACGGGGCCGCTGTGCTCAGGGGTGCCTGCAGCTGAGACAGAGGAGCAGAGGTGAGCGGCCAGGGTCCACGGAGCCCCAGCTGGGAGAACAGACCCTGGCGGGTGACCATGACAGTGACTTGCCAGCAGCAGCAGCCCAGGCTGCAGTCTCAAATCTCAGCTTTGTGCACACAGACCCCGTTTCATAGGTGAGGAACCAGAGAGCAGAGGCAGAGTCTCAGACACCCTCTGCAGGGTCYGCCAGCTGGTGGGACCGGGCGCACCCTTATGAGGCCTCAGGAAGAAAGTGAGCAGTGGGTGCCCTTCCGTCCTTCAGCTCCCCAGAATGGGCACTCTCAGGGCAGCCCAGGACAACCATGGGCCTCTCCTGACTCYTCTGCCGTGTGCCAGGCCACATTCCACGAAACCTTTGCCACGCCAGCCAGCAGGACACACGGCCGTCCCCAGCAAGCAGGGCACAAGACTGTCCCATGTGGCTGCTTATGTCACGCCATGACTGTGCTAAGAAAGACCATTCTCAAGTGAGACTCCCTTCACTTTAGAGTAAGAAGGAGAGTCGGCGTCCACTCCTGGGGGCAGCCACTCCTCACGATGACAACAGGTACCCTGAGCTCCCTGGGCAGGGGTCCTGAGAGCCGTAGGAGACCACTGCTTTGCAGGTCAGAATGTCCAATACCCATAATCTCACACGGTCTCTTAAAGTTACGTGACGAGGTCCCACGCCCACAATGTGGGGAGGACAACCTGGAATCCCACCCACCCTGCTTCTGGGGTGGAGATGTGCCAGACCTGACCAGCACCAAAACCGTGGATCTGCTTCTCCAGCAGATACRCGGGGCAGACAGGTTACTTGCATGGCACCTGCCGAGTCTTTCCTTGCACATACAAACTTGTACACACACCTGTGTACCTATGCACCTACGCACAATACCAAAACATGCTTGTGTATGCACCAACACACAGATACATGCCTAAGCACCCCTGTACACCTAAGATGCACACACCTATGCACCTACACACACTAAGACACGCTCATGCCTAGGCACCCCTGCACAGATGTGCACATGCCTGTGTACCACGCACACCTAAGATGCACCCACACTAAGACACATGCCTAGGCATGGCACTCACACCTACACACATGTGCATGTGCACACACACAGTCCGCAGGGTGTAGGCTGCTACTTGGGGCAGAGCAGCAAGACTGCAGCTGAATTTGGGGTTCCGGTGGAGGTTCCTTTCCTATTACACTGACCTTGGGCCCGTTCCTGAACCACTCTGACCTCAGGGATAAATTCCCCACACAGCACTAAGGGGACAAGTCACCATGGGAGTCCAAGCGCATGGTCATTGTCCCCTATCCTATCCAAGAGCCCCAATTTACCTGGAGGGGCAGAGGTGGCACTCCTCACCAGCAAGAATCCCAAGGAGTGGAAGCTTCCACCTGCCTGTCACCTGAGCTCAACAAGCAGGACCACAGACCCACTGAGCAGGCCTCGCTGTGTGTGCTGCCCTCTGTCTCCCCACCCGCCTGGCCCGCCCCGCCCATAGGAGCTGGGAGACGGTCACGGGACCCACCGTGGACACTGGAGCAGGCCTGCTTCAGCATGGGCTTGTCCATCTTCTTGGCGTAGAAGGCCGCATACCACACGCGCAACTCAGCGCCAGCAGGGATGTCCCGCGAGGTGGTGAAGTACACGTCACTGCCGTGCTGGAAGGCCGTCAGGTTCTGGTGCCCGGGCTCCACTGCCGGCCGCACCAGCATCATCCAGTTGCAGTCATCCTCGTTGGAGGTGTCGAAGCACACAGGGTGGCCGTCCTGCTGGAACACCTGGGGTGCGGCCAGGAGCCGGCTCTCAGGGGCCTGCCTGGTGCATYGCGCCCAAGGCCTAGGGGCTCCACAGGACCCGTGCAGGGGCCTAGGTGTGCAGTCAAAGGGAGACCGCGTGGAAGGGGCGGATGGGCAGCCATAGGCAAAGGAAGCAGGAGACACAGTGGGCGGCCCCTGTGTCATCAGGATACCCGAGTTCTACTCGGGACCCGAGGGTCCTCCTGCTCAGGGCCCGRGTCTGAAACAGCCCACAGCCTGGTGAGTGGACGCAGGCCGGGCAGGGGAACCCACGTGCTCTGTGGTTCCAGGCAATCCCACGGGCAGGGCCCCTACGTTCTAGTTGACCATGGTCCCTCACTGAGGGAGACCCCACCCCTCGCCTGAGCTTTTCCTGCAAATCCACACAACATCCCCCGGCTGTTTCCAAGGTCTGGAATCACTGGACTCAGCAGCCCTCGCTGGCCGTGCCCTCAGGAACGGTCACAAGCCCTCAGTCCCGAAACCTGCAGCAGCTTCACCTTCAGGGGAAACGCGGATTCCTTCTCCCACTTGGCCACCCTCCTGGACTCGAAGGGGCCAAACTGGGTCCGCTTGACCAGCTGCGTGACGGCGAACACGCCTTCCGCCCCGTCTTCCAGACGTCGGATCTCCAGGTTGGAAGGCAGGGAGGACCTGGGAGCGAGAGGACATGACTCCTGGGAGGCTCTGCCTGCCTGCCCCCGGGCAGCAGCAAGCTCAGGCCTGGGAGCTCCTCCCTGACCACCACCAGGCGCTGAGGTGACCCTCCAGACAGCAGCAGGAGAGCTCTCCTCAGCCGCTCCACAGCACTGCGGCCAGATCGTAATGACCCCCAGGCCTGGTCACCCAGAGACCACCTCCAGGCCAGGCAGATGTGCCCGTGCCCATGATGTTCACCAAAGGACATGGTTAAGAACCCCACAAAGACAGGGAGCCCAATTAAGACGAGTTGTTGCCTTCAAGGACGGGAGGAAGAACTTAAAGGGGTCGGGCATGCCAAGGACCAGAATAGGGTACCAAGAGGTCGGGCCGCTGTCTCACTGAAGATGTGGCCTTTTCCCACCATGTTTTTTACTGGTGCATCACAGCTGTACGAGGTGGCGGGATTGGTACATGCACACCACAGAACAGTACTCTTCCTGAACACTGAAGTGGCCTTTTCAATTAACCGAGAAGGTCAAGGGCAGGGCTGGAGGAGAAGACCACATGAACTGGGGCTTTGGCATGGGACAGGGTTGGACCAAGATGTGGCCAGAAGCACAAGTGGAGTCAGGGTGTGAATGAAGCACAGATCCCGTGGGGGCAAGCGGGGACTGCGCTGGTATGAGGAGCCCAGCTCCGGGGCTCTGACTGTGTGGCCAATGTCCCCCATGGATGCTCCTGGACAACCGGCAATGCCCTGAGGGTTTGGGGAAGAGGAGAGTTGATCAGCTCTCTGCTTTGGGCAAAAAATAGTCACCTCTTTGTTTTGAATACACTAAGTCTCTCTGAAGCAAAACAAATAAGTGGGCTGGGGTGGGGCTACTGGGGGCTCCAGAAACTGCACTGAGGTGCCAATAGCCATTGTTTCARCCTCACCTGTGCCTGGCACCATCGCAGGTGAGACCACAAGCCCACAGCCTAGCAGTACCTTCTCTACATTTCAGAGATGACTGAGTCTTGGGAAGGAACACACCATGCCCAAGTTCACAGGGCTACACGTGGCATGGCCTGCATAGTGAGGGATGGGGAGCAGCCGTGGCCACAGACACCTCCACACACCTGCAGGTGCTTTTCCAGGGGCTGCCGTGGCCTGGCCTCATTGCCTGGCCTCCCTGCCCGGGCCGCCACCCAGCCACCTTGCCTGTGGTGTGCACCTGTCAATGGGCAGGTCTGGATCCAGAACCCGGGGGAAATSCCAGAAGCAGACCCACAGCTTGGCCACTGCTGCTCGGGGCGTAAAAAATGCAGCCTGCCCAGAGGTGGCCCGGCCCCCAGAACCTCCCACTGCGTGGGATGTGGCCTCTATCTCCTGCGCTCGCCCAGCACCCTGCTCACACTGCACAAGACTCACTCCCCTGGCTCCCCACTCCTATCTATAGACATCCGCCCCACAGAGGACCCACCACAGACAGGGCTACGAGGCAACTTAAGACCATCACTCACCTTGCCCTGCTCAGCACGAAGGAGTCCTTGACCATGACCACTGGGCCCAGCTCAGGACACTCGGAGTCATGGTACTGGCTACAGTCTTCACACCCTGCAAATAGACACGGAGTGTCGGAGGGCACAGTGCACAGGGAGGGAGACATCTGAAGCCACAAGCCCAGGAGGCAGGGACCCTGCAGAGCACGGCTCCCCTTTGTAATCCCCAAACAGAGCCTACACAGACACACCCCTCCCCAGAAGAGCTCCAGCTCTGCATCCCAGTCCCACATCACCTCCGTGGAGGCAAAGACCAGGACCTTCCCAAGGGCAGGGTGCCAGAAAGTCCTGAGGATGGTGGGAGGCYGGGCAAGCACCAGCTTGCCTGTCAACCCAACATGCGTCCCTGCCTCTAAACCCTGGACTCTGTTTCTGAATCGAGGGCTACCCTGCAACGCGACCCTGCCAGGAGTCCTGAGGACGATGACCCTGGACACCCCACCCGGGCAGGGCACTGCTGTGCAGCGAGCCACGTCCTCCAAGCAGTTTAAAAGGAAAAGACTTCTGCGTTTTTGTTTTTAATGGAAGTGGTTTTGCCCAGACAGCAAGTGTCCAGCCCTCTGTGTTCCTGGCCCAGATGGGTCTGCGAGTCACTTACAGATGAACATGATCTCTTCACTGCCATCTTCGGCCATCTCCACACCTGTCAGGACACAAGAGAACCAATTACTGATGTGCTCCCCCACCCAGCATTTTTGGTTTTGGTTTTTTTTGGTTTCATGGATTGAACCCAGGGCACTGGACCACTGAGCCCCATCCCAGCCCTATTTTGTACTTTATTTRGAGACAGGGTCTCACTGAGCTGCTTAGCAGCTTACTGAGTTCCTGAGGCTGGCTTCGAACACGCAACTCTCCTGTCTCACCTCCAAAGCCACTGGGATTATAGGCCTGTGCCACTGTGCCCAGCCAGAAGAGCGTTTTTAAACACAGAGCCCAGCAAGGCCTCCCCTGACCCATGCAGGGACGTCTGTGTGCTGCAAGGAACAGCAGGTAGCACTGCTCAGGGGAGGTCTCTGGGATACTTCCTCACTAAAATATCACTGTTTTTAATGAACCCAGAGGATGGGAAGGGCCTGTGACTAGGAGTCCTCGTGACTCAGACTCCACCTCGTCACCTTAGGCCTCAGTGTCCACTGGTGACACAGACAYCAGCTCCCAGCTTTCACACTGCCCCTCCTCCGTCCTCCTTCCCAGGGGCAGTCATGTCTAATGCAGCTGGTTTCCCTGTCTCTCCTTGTGCCTCGGGTCCCATAAACTCCCTACACATGACATTGTGGAGGCTCTCCTGCTCCACACAGACCTTGGTCAAATTGGCCCCTTCTGTTTCCCACCTATCCTTTGGGGGCCACCTTAAAACCACCTCCATGCTGGGCAGCGGGGTGAGGCCCCCCCCCATGGCCTTGCACCCTTCCCACCTTCCCTCTGGGTCCTCTGCTGGGCCTCTTATCAGGAAAGTGTGCATGCTGGTTCCCGATGCTGACCCCACTCTCCCTCCGCCCACCGGCCCCAGCAGCTGGGAGATTGAAAAGCAGGCAACAGGAAGCCCAGACGCACATTTGGGTTCACTGAGCACACGTGTGGTCATGGACGGAGCAGAGCAGAACACTCCATGATGAGAGGGATCAGCTACACGGACATGAGGCTGAGGAGGTGGGCTGCCAAGTCTCCTGTAAGAAGCCAGGGACAGCCACGGCGTACCCTCCCATCACTGCACAGGGCCCCCTGAGCATGTGCACACCGACAGAGAGCTGTGAAGCATGAGCACCGCTGGCTGGAACCACGCCTTTAACACACAGGTTTTAGGGGACATTAAGATCCAAACCATGACAGACAAGGAGGCAGATGTGCCGGGTGGGCTGGGGGCTGCTCTGACGGCGGCCCCTGTGGCACTGGGCCTCAGGACCCACACACCTGCCACAGGAACCCTCCCCTCCCATCCGCTCTGCCTGGGTCAGGAGCTTCTGTAATGGGAACACCAGGTCTCGGGAGGCCACCCAGGGYTGCAGTCAGACCCCAGCAGGGCACAGAGCCTGATGATGTGAGAACTGGAGCAGAGAGTGCAGGGACTCGTTCTCGCGGAGTCCACCGAGGCCGGCTGGCCGCCTCTTTCTGGGGCAGCAGCTGCCTCTGACCTGCACCTCAGACAGCCCCGCCCTCCATGTGCCCCGCAGAGCTGCAGGGAGAGGACACCTGGCTGAGTTGCTGGAGGAGAAGTTCCAAGACACAGCAGGAGGGCGGGCGCTTCTCACATGGCGCTCATCGAACAGCTTTGGGGACAACACTCTCAGTAACCTGGTCCCCAAAGGGTGGCCTCTCTGAACAGCTCTTCGCAGCCCAAGACAGAGACCACAGCCTCCCCGGGCAGCGTGCAGGGACAGCACATCTGCCTTCAGGAAAATGGCACCCTCCCCTGCCCCGCACGTGCCGATGGAGAAGGGGGAGTCCAGTCCCACATCTGGCCCACAGGACCCCCACAGTGAGGTCACAGGATGCTCTGGTGCACACAAAAGGGAGGAAAATAGACGGAAAGCATGAGCGTCTGTCGTCTGACCACCAGTCCTGCCTCCCCAGCGGTGCTCAGTGTGGACCCCRAACCAGGAGCCAGCAGGACCAGTGTGGCCTGGAATTTCCTGGAAATGTAAACCCTGACCCCATCCAGAACTTTGATGGGACTCCGTGGGGCCAGCAAGGGCTCCCACGGCCCCCAGGGGAGACCCCTACAGCCCAGGTCTAAAGTGCGCTGCACCAGGACAGGCCAGGACACCAGGGCCTCCCTTGGTGTGGCAGGAAGAGTGGACCTCAAGCAAATGTCCTGTGTGACTACTCACACCGGAGCTTCCGTGGCACCCACAGTGGTGACAGGCCTAGAGACGAAGGGAGGGATCACTAAGGGAAGAAGCAAGCAAACCACCTTCAAAAACATGCACAACACAGTTCTGAAAGAGGAGATAGGTCAGCAGGTAAGCAGAGAGGACTTCTGCGGCCATTCTGAGAGGCCACTGCACACCCCAGTCCCGAGGGTGCTGCATAGCTGCAGGCCAAGGTCAAGATCTGAGAGACTCTGCTCAGGACGACAGCCCCTGAACATACCCGGGCAGAGGGCACTTCCCAGGCACACTGACTGGCAAGCTGAGGAGCCACAGTCCACAGCTGGGCTCTGGGGTCCTGCTGTAAGGGGACTGGCGGCCAGAGCCCAGGCACACCTGCTACTGCCACGTGCTAGAAGTGAAGCACCTGAGCTGGTCATGGCCCCCCTCAGCCTGTCTCCTCCTCTGTACCACGAGAGGCTAACTGGACTCTCTGCGTCCCTTGGCCCTGCTTAAACTCTAGGCCATCAGTGCCACAGGTGTCCTCCGCCTCCTCCTCCCCATATTYCCTCCTCCTCCAGTGCTGCCACACCTGGGTCGACCTAACCACTGTGGCAGTCCAGGTGTAGACAGCACACTTTCAACACTGTGGGCACAGGGCAAAATCCAGCTATCACCCTGGCTGCCCCCTCAACGAAGCTGGAACTCATGATCCTGGCATGGACCATTCTGTAGCTTCCCTCTTCCTGACCTCATTCCCCGGCACACAGTGTCCTCTTCTCGCCAAAGGAAGGGGCTCCCCACACCTCACAGGGTTCACTTCTGGGTCGCCCCGGCCCTGCGCTGCTCTTGGCCGGGGTTCACCTTTTCTTCCCCGGCCTTCTCGTCAGCTTCAGAGGAGGGCAGACCCAGCTGCCAGGGGCGTGGCAGGCCTGGTACAGGTTCCCAGGCCGCAGGTCGGGCGCCGCTCTGCCTACAGACGTCGCCGCACACCACTTACTTGGCCTCTGCTTCCCCACCTGGCCCTGTCACCATGGTGGCCCAGGAGAGCAGAGTGGGCACTCTAGAGTCCTGTTGCACATGTCCTAGACTACAGCGGGCACCAGACAGTGGGCCTCTGCCACAGTCAGGGACTGAGCACTGCATCTGCTCAAGGTGTGGACTCCTCGCTGGGCCTGCAGACACCCAGCACACTGCTCAAGGTGCCTTCCTTTTGTATCTGTCCTCCCACATCAAACTGCGGGGCGGAGCCCGCTCAGCTCTGCACACAGACGAGGTCACCACTACGGAGGTCTGTCTAAAACCTGGCATTGCAGGTGGACTGACCCTAAGTGATGACCTAACTGACCTTGTCCCCCTTCAAGACTGAGGACACCAAGGGAACGGCAGCTACCATATGGCAAGAGGAAGAGTGAGTCCTGCAGGCAGGTGGCCCCCGAGGGGAACTGGAGGCTCCTGGGGCAATAACGATGCCAGGACCTCACAGCATTGGGAGATGGTGACCAGCCAGACCCCAGTTTGACGAGACTGCTCCTCAGGCCTCCATTCCCCCATGGTTCTTGGTGACTTGACACTCAACTGAATGGGGCTGGGGATGCTTGGTCCCCTGTCGTCCCAGTATGTCAATCCCTGTCCCCCCCCCCCCAGACCCACAGGCAGATCTCCAGCCTGCTCTCTGGCTGTCCTGTGGCCTCTGCTGCTGCCCCTTAGCCAGCGTTTGTTCACGGGACACACGAGCTCGCATGCTCACCTGGCATCCCCCCAGGTCTGGTAAGTCAGAGTGTGGGAYGCGTGACTCTGAAAACCTCTGGGGCACCAACACGTGTGCCATACGTCTCCAGCCCRCCTCTGAAGTCCGCTGCTTGTTTCGGGCTGGCTTGGTTCTGGTGCATAGTTCTGCATGCTGCCTGGTGTGCGTGTGCGATGACGCTCTGCTGCACAGGGAAGCCGCAGTACTGGGTGTGCTTAGCTGTCTCCTGCGGGCCCTGCGTCCTGTGCTGGCCGGCGGGCCTGGGTGGGTCTGGACGCTGTGCCTGTGTGCAGAGGCCCTGCAGATGCTGTGCAGCAGGGGCAGCAGGGCCGCCTTCCCACATCCTCCGCAGCTTCCTAGCTGTGGGCCTGTTCCTGCCCACTGTCTCCTTTCCTGGGTCCACTCCCTGGATCTGGGGACATTCTCCCTGGAGCTTCCCTGGCTGACAGGGACCTGGAGGTCCGTCTTCTGGATGTCCCCACAGCCACCAGTCTGATCTCTTTGCGGCTGGCAGAGGCCCCAGGTGCCACTCCACCACAGTACCCTGGAAGGTCGGCCTCAGCGTCACGCTGGGCAGCCTGGGGGCAGCCCTCTCCGCCTGACACTGTGTCCCGAGCCCTGAGGTTTCTGTCACCATTTCTTCTAGAATTTCTTCTCTGTTCTCTTTCTGAACCTCTTGGCTTCGCCCAAAAGGACGTCTGCGTTCTCATTTTCACTTCTGGTTCTTTAAGAGGAATTTCTGGGCCAAGWGGAGAGAAAGGCGCGCGCTCTAACATCTCCACATGGACAGAGGCAGAGTGGACCCTCACCTGGTCAGCACCCAACCCGCCAGGTCTGCATTGAGCAGCCTGGTTGGCGGGGCTGCGGYGGGCTTGCTGCCCAGCAGTGCTGGAGTAGCAGGTTTTGCTCACTCTACAGGCACTAGCAGCATAACTAATGAGTCCACTAAACCCACAAAATCACGAATTTACACTTTTACACTTACAAAGAGCAAAGACCTGAGTTACAATACCTGTGCACACCCTTCTCAAAGGCAGGGCCCTGGTGCAGGTGTCCTTCCTCCCCAGAGTGGTGGGAGCGAGAACCCAAATGGTCCCGCTGGGCAAGTCAGTGGCTGACAGGGCTGTTGCACCTGAGCCGTGTCATTCAGCCGAGGTGGAGGTTTCYGATGCTTGGGCAAAGTGACATGTGACCTGAAGCCCAGACTGCTGCACCACCAACAGGCCAAGCAGAGCCAGGACAGACAGCGCACACCAGGCAGAGAGGAGCAGGGCCTCTGAGAATCCACCTCCACTCGGGTTTGTGGCAACGGGAAGCCGAGGGCCACCAGAGCTCATCCACCCCACAGACCTGGGACACCCAGGATGCAGCGCCTGACAGACTGCAAAAGCAGGTTCTCTCTCACACACTCTCACCATGCAAGAGGGAGAGAAAGGCGTGCACCCTACCATCTTCACATGGACGGAGGAGGCCTCATGGAGGCCTCAGCGGACGCCAGCACCGTGATCTTGAGCTTCCAGCCTCTAGAGCTCTAAGGTTTAATTTCTTTTCTTTATAATTTACTTAGTCGGTTGTATTCTGGGATAGCAGCAGAAAACAGGCTAAGGCAGAAACTGCCCTCCATCTGTCAAACTCCTACTCAGTTCTTAAAGGCCAACCCAAATGCCCCTCCTGCCCAAAGCCCTCTTGGCTAYGACTGCCACATGACACACCACACCTCTCCCTACAGCACCCAAGACACTCAGAGCCCAGCACTAGCACACACTGTGTGCCTGCAGCTCCCTTCCCCACGCGAATCTCCGTTTCTCTGTCCCTTCTACTGCTGAAGTCCTCCTAGAGGACTGGCCCACTTCACCCCTTCTTTGGCATGTGAGCRGGCTGCCTCTGGCTCCACCAGACCCCTGCCCCTGTCAGTCCCTTCTCCAGTGACTCCCAGCAGGGAGGCCCCGGCCCCCCTGGACATCCTTCTTGAGTTACAGTCTCCTGGTCACTTTCCCTCTGGCTGGACGCTCCTTCCTTGGCCACTTTACTGGCCGCCCCTCCATCTAGCATCCCAAGCCTCCACAGTGGGACGACCCAGGCCGGCTCCTTGGTCCTCCCTCCCTCTAGTTCTGACCAAAGCCAGTGCCTGGCACAGCCCTTGCTCCTTCCCAGGCCCTCTCTGTGGCAGCCTGATGCCTGCTAYGATGTGTGGGAATCTCTTCACCTCTCTTCACCAGGGTCTTGCTCTTTCCTGCATTCAGCTGACAGCTTGCCCTGTTCACACCAAGTTTCGAGTGCTACAAGGGACATAACTTGACTTTCTAAAATAAAACCGTTGTCACTCTTGTAAATCTACTGATATCTGCACCTACGCTGGGATGGCCTGCTATCTACAGYACATGTGAACAAACCCTTCTGTGGCCACAGGAAGCTGACCACACTTCTGCTCCATCCATTCCTGCTTCCGCCACTGCAGAACTCAAGCCCAGTGCCACACGCTGTGCTTGAGTCTCCTCTACTGATGCCTCACTGCAACTTTCTGCAACACACAGTGTGTCAGGACACTGGCCTTGATTCTGCAGGACCGCAGGCTGGCTGGCTGCTTCCGGCTGTCGCTGTGTTGCCCGCAGCACCAAACAAACATCACGACCTCACAGCAAGCTGTGCTCAAGCAGGTGGACGGGCGTTCTTCCCACCAGTCCCGGGTGRACAAACGTTCCCCTCTGCAGCTCTCCTCCCCAGCACACGAGCACCTGTGGCCTGGGAACAGGTGAGACGGAGTGGAAGGTCTGCACACGGGCCTTGGGCTGCCCCCAACAGTGCCAAGCACATAGCTGCAGTCAGCCTGCAGGACCCTGCAAGCCACTGAGGGTCTGTCCCCGCCACATAGCTGGACCAAGGGCCCATGCCCCAGCCCTCACCATGAGTCTCCTGCTCTGCAACAGGAGGGGTCCTTCCTCAGTAGGAGTCCCTGRAGGACAGGCCCATGGCACCCAGCCCTGTGCATCATCCCTGCCCACCTGGCAGCCCTCACCACTGYCTTACCCAGGATTCCTATTGCTTCTAGTCTATACTGCCTCCCCTACCTGCMTGAACTGGGGTCCCACCCACAGGGACGGCTGAAGGTGGCCTGGCTGCTGGGGCCCTGAGGTCCCCTTACCACCCACCCCTGAGGGCCCAGCAGTACTCTGCACCTCAGTGAGCCRCTGTGCCATGGTCCACTGTACCCATCTCACCAGGGCAGGGCCTGCCCCACCCATGGACAGCTCAGTCCCCACCTGGCTCCTCTGTGGACACCTGTTTGAATGAAGTCCTGTTGGGCCTGGATTCCTGTCACACCCACTCAGCAGCCATAGGGTCATCTAAGAACACAGACCCTGCTCCAAGCCCCCAGGGGAACCTGTGGTGCTCAGAATAAAAATGCGGTCCTGCTGCCTCCCCTCCTCTTCACCACACTGGTCTCTCCATCCTTGAGCCCAAAGCTCATTCTCACCCCAAGGCCTCTGCATTGTCAGGCATGTGTCTGGGATGAATTCCTTCTGCTCTCCAAGAGGCTGCCTCATAGCACTGGTCTCCATTCAAACGCCCCTCCTCAGGTGACCTTTCTGGCCCAGCTCCCTGGGTGYACCATCCTGCCCGCCTGGCAGCCCCACCCCTGTCCTTTCTTCTTCATGCCCTCACCACTGTCTTACCCAGGATTCCTATTGCTTCTTGTCTACACTGCCTCCCCTTCCTGCCTGAACTGGGGTCCCCCAGGCTTTCTCTTACTCGGTGCTGGGCACATGAAAGTGTCCTTCTGTAGAGATTTACGAGTGAACAGTTGGCCAAATCACCTAATCTGTGCACCTGAACACCACAGTGAGCCAGCCAGAGTGAGCCATGCTTTGCAAACGAGAAACTGAGCCTGAGAAGCACTTAAGTCACTGCTCACAATCACAGAAGCTGTTCCAAATCTCCCTCAAGTCTGTAAAGTATGATTTTTCTTTCAAGGCCTTCTGTACCAATAACAATGAAAAAAATATCAGAGCTACATCCTCAGTGGACAGAGTTCCTTTTCAAATATAATTATTCTAAGATAAGCTATTAGCCTTGCAACCATGGTTGCTTTCTAAAGTTTGTCTTCTGGAGAAATAACTGTTGCATCTGTCTTCAAAACTAAACATATTTATATGTTCTTTCTTGGTAACTTTGCTGCAAAAGTAGTAATCATAGATATAAGAAATGAGAAAATTTTGTATTTTTCCCTTTTCAAATCCAGACTAACAGTCCTATTTCTTAAGGATTCACTGTAAGGCTGTGATTTCAAGGAAACCCAAGGGAAGTGGAGAGGAGCTATAAAAATGAGGTAGAAAAGGCCAGGCTTGGTGAGTAMGTGGGTGTCACTCAGGCCAGCGTTCACCCCAGGACTACCTGGGGAGAACTGTCCTGTGCCCTCAGGAGGTCTGTGCAGCCAAGGTGCTCCCACACTCTTCACCCTCAAAATGCCTCAGGCCCCAGCAGGGTCCCCACACTCGGCATTAGGTGTGGCTTCTGCAAATGCTGGCACTGGTGGACCACTAGTGGAGGCACTGGTCCTCCTGCTTCTGGATGGCACACTGGTTCCTGCCATTTTAAACCACCTTTGACGGGGGAGAGGGGTGGCAATTTCTGAGCATGTGTGAAAATAGCTCTCATGGGCTACACCCAGGCKTGGTGCATGGCACTGGCCTCCAGGGAGTAGTGATCAGGTCTGTGTGCTCAAAAACACAGGAGGCCGCACGTGGCCCTCGCCCCACCTGTCCACTTCTTCCCTGGGCACCTGTCGCCGCTTTCACGCCCTTCCCTCTGGCACCAAAGGGTTCACCCAAGTAAGGTCAAGGGGCCCTGGGGAGGTCACCGCCAGCCCTCCGCTTTTCTACTCCCACTAGGGGCTGGGGCCCGGGGCCTCTCCGTCCTCTCCCGAGGACGCGGGAAGCGACGTCAGGGAGGCCACGCGGGGCGGAGGGCGCGGAAATCCCGCGCTGGGCCGGCGGGGGCCGGTTTTCGTGGCCGGGGCCTGGCGCCCTCACTGGGCTGCGCGGGGGCAGCGGGCCCGCCAGGGCGGCGCGGAGGGCGGTGGGCACCGGGCCGGCCCCGCAGCGGGAGCGGGCGGCCGGGGGCGCGGGGCGCGTGCGTGGGCGCGGGCGGGCGGGCGGCGCGGAGGGYGCGGGCCGGGCCGTGGGCGGCGGGCGCGGCGCGGGCCCGGTACTGGGCGGCGGGCGCGGACGGCCCGGAGCGCCCGCGGCGGCGGGACCCGGCGGGCGGCGGCGGGCGGGCGCGCAGGGCGATCCCGGAGCGGCTCCGGAAATCCAGCCGGGTTTTGACTCCGATCGCCCACGGCGCCCGCGGCCGGCGAATGTAACAAAGAACAGTCGGCATGGCGGCTGGACCGGGGCGGGCGGGCGCGGCGGGGCGGGCGGGCGCCGGGCGGCGGCGGGCGGGCGGCGCGGGCCGGGCCGGGGGCGCGCGCCGGGGCGGGCGGCGGGCCGGGCCCGGGGCTTTACCTGCCTTTGGAATGTGCAGAGCAGGATCGGATCCGGACTCCGGGTTGCGATCCGCTCCGGAAACTGCGCAGCACCGGAAGCCGGGGGGCGGCGGCGCGGCATCGTGGGAGTTGTAGTGCGCGGCCGGGCGCGGGCGGGGCGGGGCGGGGCGGTGCGGGCGGCGTGGACGGGGTGTTGGGGAGCGGGCGAGGTGCGTGGACGGCCGGGGAGCGGACGGGGTGTCGGGGAACGGGCGAGAGTGCGTGGAGGGTCCGGGGAGCGGAGGGGTGTCGGGGAGCGGGCGGAGTGGATGGCCTGTCGGGGAGCGGGCGGCGGTGAGTGGACGGGGTGTCGGGGAGCTGGCGAGGTGCGTGGAAGGCTGGGAGCAGACGAGGTGTCGGGGAGCGGGCAGCGTGGATAGGGCGTCGGGGAGCAGGCCGCCGTGAGCGGATGGGGTGTAGGTGAGCGGGCAGGGGGTGTCGGGGAGCGGGCGGCAGTGCGTGGACGGGGTGTTGGGGAACCGGGGGGGGGGGCATGGACTAGGAGTCGGGGAGCGTGTGGTGGGCGGCATCGACGGGGACCCAGTGGAGCGGGCAGCGTGCTTAGGGGTTGGGGGAGTGTGGGGGAGCGGTGTGGATAGAGGGCTGGGGGAACGCGTGACGCACAGAGTGGACCCAGGAGCTGGGGGAGCAGGCAGCATGGACGGGGCACCTRGAGGAGTGGGTGGTCGGCCGTGTTCAGGACAGACTGGAAAGGCAGGACGGGAGCGGGGGGCTTGGACGCCACCAGCGTGGGGCGGAGGGCGCTCTGCCACCACGCAAGGTCCAGCCCCACTGGTCCCTTTTCTCCCTACAGCTKCTAGGTACTGTGGTTTCCGAGGGTGGAAGGTGGAGGGGGTCKAGTTTTCTCCAGATCAGGTCTGGGGTTGCCAGATTGTCCTAATTTCTGAGTTTAGCCGGTGTTGGCATTCTGGGCTGGCTTTTTGTTTGGTATATAAGGACTTCGTGAAGTCACAGGCCTAGCAGCCGCAGAGCCAGGAGTCGGAATCCTCCCAGGGGCTTCACTCCAGCAGCTGCCTTGGAGCAGCCCAAGTGAAAAGCTTGTGGAAGCACGCGGCCATGGAGTGTGTGTGCAGTACCCTGTGCTAGTAATCCCCAGACTCAGATCAGGAGGCACAGGCAGGCCTGTGCCAGTCAACAACGCCCTGCCTTAAAGTTACAAGGACTGGGGATGTGTCTCAGTGCTAAAGGGCCTGGCCGGCATTCATGAGGCCTGCTCTAAAATAAAAAGTGTGTGATGACRAAACACTGGAAATAGAAGGGACTTGGCTCTCTTGATCTAGTCTGGCRTCCCCATTCAGAGGGGCACACTGTCTCCCATTCCTGCCTGCCAAGACTTCCTGTGAGAGGAGGAGGAGGAGGAACTGGGGAGATTTATTTGAACTGGGACCACAAAGAGCTCCTTTCCCGTGTATGTGAGGTCCTAGGAGTCACTCACAAAAAGAAAATACAGTGTCTCTTACATAMGTGAGAAGACATTTAACTCTCTTATCTGAAATAAGAGAACAAACAGGATTCCAGTGAGGGGATTTTTATTAGATWAGCAAAAAAATAAAAGATTCATAGCATTACTTTGGAGGGATTCTAGAGGAACACTGCGGTCCTGTGCTAGGGGGAAGGTAAATGTACATACCCGTAGAGATTCCAGATGCCTTTGGCCCACCAATTCCACATGTAGCTCACCCTGCAGAGATGCACTGTGCAGAGGGGCACCTGTGTAAGGTTAGTCATAACTAAGTGCCATTCAAAGGGAAGTGTTGGGTGCTCCTGGGCAGCCCATGGGGTGCCAGGTCATGTAGCAGAGAGGAAAGATGTTCAGGGGGCTCCCTGCCCCAACATCTACAGTGGCTTCCCAGTTGCAGTACAGGAAGCTGACCCAGAGCATCCCTCACCTTTCCAGAACCACTCAGCTGTCCACCCTCCCCTCTTCCTGCTCAGACCCCRCCTCCTGCCAGCCTTCCTTCTCCCAGGTTTCCCACCGCCATCCCTTCGTCCAGGTCTTTGCCCAAATGCTCTCCAGCCCCCTCCACACACCTATAGCTGACATACACCACAGCACCCCCCGTGCACCCCTTCTGGCCATCACTCAGGTGGCCAGTTCTCTGGGTCTCTGCACACTAAATAGGTACCGACAGAAAGTGGCAGGTCCTAGCAAGAGTGAAGGACTGAGAGTAACAAAGACCTTGTGGTTTAGATATGAGGCGTTCCCCCCAAAACCCACGTGTGACAATCAGAGATGAGATGATTAGATTTTACAAGAGATTGTGTGACTCTGCTGATAAGGGCTAACTGGGTGATAACCATAGGCAGGTAGAGTGTGGCTGGAGGAAAGTTGTCACTGGGGTGTGCCTTGGGGGTTGCTGTTTTGTCCCTGTTGAGCAGAGCCCTCTACTTCCTGGTTTTCAGGTCCTGAACTGCCTTTTTCTGCCATGATGCCCCACCTCACCTTAGGCCCAGAGCTGCAGAGTCAGGTGGTCATAGACTGAACTTCCGAAATCATGAGCCCAAATAAACCTGTCCTCTGTGTTGTTTTTGTCACAGCAATGAAAGAGCTAACTAAAACAGAAATTGGTACTGAGGAGTGGGACGTGGCTGGCTGTGACTGATGCGACCATGGGGCTCAGAAGCTTTTGGAGCTGGTTTGTGTGGCATGGGGGGAGGGGTGTTTGAAGAATTTAGCGAAGCTGTCGAAAGTTGTAAGCAGAGCTTGATGGGTGACTGCCATGAGTTCAGGAGACCTGAACGCAGTGGCACTGAGGTTTCAGAGGAGAGGATGGGGTCGAAGTTGGACTGGAGGCCATTCATATCATGTTCTGGCAAAGAAGGTAACTGCATCTTGCCCGTGTCCTGAGACTGGGAGGCTGAATTTAAAGGGGATGTAGTGATTGGTCTGTGGAGGGAATTTAGAGGTAGCGCAGCATTCAGACAGGGCATGAATGTTGCTGGTGGATTTTAGCCAAGCTTACCATGATAACCAGGAGCAGAAAGCAGAGCAGAAAGATTTGAAAACCTTCTGGGCAGAAAAGTGAGAGCAAAACTGGGGCTAAGGAATGTGTGGCTGTTAAAGACATTAGAACCACTAAAGAAATAATAGGAAAGACGGCTTGAGGGCCTCTCAGGAGTGGTAAGACCACACCTCTCTCTCTCCAGGGTGTAAAAGAAGACATTTTTTTGAGAAGAGACCAAAGGGGCATCCAGCTTGGGGGAGGGGGTGCTAGTAAATTTTGGGGTTTGTTTTTACCATGCTCGGCCACCCAGGCCTGCAGAGGATGCTGCATCCGTGGTCCCAGCAGGCTTAGCTCCTAGTAGCTCAAGATGGCGACAGACCTTGGCATCCATCACGTCGTGCTGGTGCTGCAGGAATGAAGGATGCTGGAGTTTGGGGGTCGTGAAGGCTTCCACCAAGATTGCAAAGGAAAGCCTGGAGGCCTGGCAGAGTGCAGCAGGGTCAGAGTCCCTGTGGGACGCCCCTGAGAGGCCAATACATGAAGAGGTGAGAAGGAAGCCAGAAGCCTCAGTGGAGACCCCAAAGGTGCCAGTAACCTAGGACATCACTGAGGAAAGCCGCAGGTACGGGCAGAGACAAGCAGCRGAGAGGCTGTGGGGGCCGCAGCCCACAGCCCAGAGAGACCCTCACCCTGCCAAGTGCCCAGGTGCTGGACATGGAGMTACAGGACTTGCTTGCCCCCCAGGGTTTCGGTCTTGCTTTGGTCTCGTCCCTGTTTTTCCCTTGTGGAATGGGAATGTTTACTCTGGGCCATTACATATTGGGTATATGTGACTTGCTTTTGACCTTTACAGGGGACAACATCCATGAATTCATCTGAAGTCTTGGATGAGATCTTGGACTTGGACTCGGGGGCAGTGGTAGAACTGCTGAGACCATGGGGACCCCTGGAAATGGACCAATGTATTTTGCATTGTGAGATGGGTGTGAGCTTTTGGGGGCCAAGGAGAGAAAGTTATGGTTTAAATATGAATGAAGTGCCTCCCAGAAGCTCATGTGTGAGACAAGGCAAGCGTTTCAGGGGTAAGACGGGGAGATCATCAGAGGTGTGACCTTGTCAGTGGATTGATCTACTGATGGACTGCAGGCAGGTGGAATGTGGCTGGAGGAGGTGGGTCCCTGGGTTGTGACTTTGGGGTTTATAGTTTGTCCCTAGTGAGTGGAGGTCTTGCTCTACTTACCTGTTACCTGCTTACCTGCTCTAGTTACCTGTCCTGAGCTGCCCTCCTCTACCACACCCCCAGCCAGGAAGTTCTGCCTCACCTCAGGCCTGGAGCTGTGGGGTTRCCCAAGGATGTACTAACCCCTTGAAACTGGGCCCACATGAACTTTTCCTTCTCCACACTGTGCTTGTCAGGTCTTTGGCTCATGGTAACAAAAAGGCTGTCTATGACACACCTCAGTCCCCGGCCATTTCTCACGTCAATGCCCACAATACGGCTGGCGTTCAATTTACACTCACAACAGTCACTGTGTTGCCAAGAAAATTCTGTGTGTTCAGGATATTTCTTCACTAAAGGCTAGAAATAATAAATTCTAAGGCAAATAAATGTATATCCTTAATTCCAAAGTTAGAAAAAAAGTGTCCAGTTTCATTAAGAACCCTGACACAACAAATCTTCGTTCGAATCATGGGCAAAAAAAAAAAAAAAAAAAAAAGGAAAACCAACTCACTATAAAGTGTGTTCTTGTGGGTAAGAACTTCAGATGCTCTCTGTGGTGCCGAGTGACAGTACCACACAGGGTTGAATTTCCCAGGGTGACCCTGAGTGCGTGACAGTAGGGTGCCTTGGTTCTCAGAGCCTGCTGAAGGGCCGAGGGTGACACGTCACAGCGCACCCCCACAACCTGATACACAGTGAAGGACAAGTGGATGTGTGATGGACACAGGGAGATGGCAGGGCAGGYGTAGCCAATGGGTGAGAGGTGGGTGAGTGGCAAGTAGGTCTGAATTTTTAAAAAATGAGTTGAGAATTCTTTAGAAACAAGTGCTTCCATTACCATCAGCCTAGGAACACTGTCCCTAAGGGATGTGTTCTCTGAGGGATGGCTCCCTGCCCTGGTGGTGGCCTGCCCAGAGCCACGCTCTCCCAGCTCCCACACCTCACCTGCTCTGGTTTTCCTGTTCATCTGGATGCAAAACTCCTTCAGTGCCAGCATCATAGACACCCCTAGTCCCCTCTCCGTCTACCACTAGCTTTTTTTTTTTTTAAGTCTGGCTAATTTTTATGCAGATAGAGGGGAGTCTAATCCACAATAAGTGAATTCCTACTGTGTGCACCCTGTGCTACGCTCACCCAGCCYGGCAGCACTGTATTGCAGACAGACCAGGTAAGGCCACTGACTTTCCTCTTGCACTGGAGCTGGTGCGGGCAGAGTTGGGTGGTGGAGGCTGTGGGCCTGGCTTCTTCCACCAGACAGCCTTGGCTCTAACTGAGGCTGCTACCTTTCAACTCCGTGAGCTTGAGCAAGTGATTTAACACTGTGCCTCAGTTTCCTGGTCTGTAAGGCCAAGGTAGATCAGGATGCACAGAGTAATTTGAAAGAGTCTGTAAGTTACCACATATAAAGCACTCTAAAAAAATTCTTGGCATATAGTAAGGTGTTCAATTAGTATTAGCTACTCTTGTGGCCTTGAATCTTTCTTTTACTTTTCTTTAGTAGCTGTGCTCACTACCCAGCTAGGACATAAACCCCTGTATCCCGTGGGCTTATCACAGTGCCATGCTGAAGCAGTGATGAGTATCAGCTGGTCACCCTGTATGCCTACACCTCCAACTTTGAATTGGCATATTGATGACATCAGTATAGATACATGGGCATAGAGCCACTAGATCTGAATACCTGTCGCATGCAGGTGTGAACTGGCATTTCCACTGTGAAAATGGTGGCTGGGTGTGGGGTGGGCTGTGGTCACAGTGACAGCAGATGCTTCTGGGTTGCCCCTGGGAGGGAGGGTCTGGCCTTGGTACTCTCCATTCAGGGAAGCCACTGTGCTGTGCCATCCATCTTGTGTTTTATTATCAAGTACCCACTGACAGGTGCATGGCACCCCATGGCCTGTGGTACCTGAGGTCAAAGCAACATGTTGTCAAGGTCTCCTCTGGCATCCAGCTCCACCTGGGACACTGGGTGCTGGTGAGCAGGGAAGGATGGGGGGATGCCAAGCTTCTGAGTCTGGGAGCTCAGTGGACATCCGTCTCCACAAGGGGGCACTGGCTATGCTAAGCCCAGGGGACACAGGAACTGCCATTCTTACTAGTGAGCAAATGGAAAAGATGAGCCGGCATGGCACGAAGCCCAAGGAGAGGGGACTGAGCACAGCAGGCCAGTGCCCTGGGGATYCTTGGTGGCTGACACACTTCATGAGAAGGCAGAGCTTGACCCTGGTCAGACTAGAACAGTGAAGGGTGACTGCTGGGGACATGGGCGTGTATTCTGGAATGCCCCAGGGTGGCTGCGACGGATTGCTCTGGGCAGTGTAGATGGACTGGCAGAAGGCGTTCACCTGGCAGTGACCAGCAGGTGAGGTTGGAAAGCAGACATATTAGGACATCTGGCTTCTGGCAGCTCCGTGCAGCCTCCTGGACAGTGGGCACAAAGCTGGCCCACGGGGCAGACAACGCTCAGACCCTGGAACTCCCCAAGTCCCAACCCAGGCTGAGGGCGCCAGCTGTCATGAGCAGTAAGCTGCAGTCTGGAGGCAGCTGGGCGCTCGGGATCCTCTGAGGCCAGGCCTTCTTCCCCTGGGAACGAGTTTTCCAATGGGAAGCCGAGCCTCAATCTTTGATCCTGAGTGACCAATCCACACCTGAAGAGCAAGTGACCGCAGCCAACCACACATGCCTAGCAGACAAGCAGGCGGGAAGGGACAGCTGAGAGGAAGGGCGGTGGGGGCCAGGGCCTCATGCACTCTCCCAAAGGGTTTCCAGACTTCCCCGAGGGGACTCCACGCTCTCCTCAGGGCTCCTGCTCTGCAGATGCTGGGGTGTTTAGGCCTGCAGAGGGGACAGACTGGGGGAGATGGTAGAACGATGGCTGTAGAGGGCTGGGGGCCTGCAGGGTGGCGCAGGACATGYCTCCGACCATGCCAGGCCCCATTGCCCCACCACAGAATCGTCACCAGCCCCACGCCAGCAGACACCCTGGCACCCGTGGCTGAGAAGGCACCTGCCCCCTGCACCTACCTATTGCCAGCAGGAGTCCAAGGACGGACGGACATGTCCTGCCTTCAGCTCCAGGTGGCCATGGGCCTTGGATCTTTCCAGGTCAACACAGGGCCTGTGGCAGCCACCGCAGAGGACAACAGCCTGAGGCATGCCCTCGAGATGCCTTGATCCTCCTGCTTTGCTCCCAAAGCTGCACCCCAGCCCAGGGCTTCCCTGCCCCGACGTGCCAGGCTCCACCAGGGCCCCTGGCCTGCGGAGCCCACGGTGTACCATGGCCCAAAAGGGCACTGGAAATGCTTTCTGTGGTAAGTTATTTTAGCCCAAAGCCTAGACGAATGCTCATTGGCTTCAAAATCCTATCAGAAAGAGGAAAGTCCTTTGCCAAGAATTAAGGATGAAGACACAGGGCAGTGGCTACCTCCTCTTGGGTCAGCTGGCCTGGTGGTTAGTCACAGGCAGGAACAGAGAAAGTCCGCAATTGAGAGACCCTTGGAGGTGGTCACGGACTCTTGAGACAGCACAGGGCTCCACAAAACACAGATAGCTGAGCATATGGTGTTGCATGTGCACATTTATTTCTTTCAAAGGTCATTCATGTCCTAGCCACACGATCTTCAGAGGAAACTGCCCGGAGCCAAGGGCACGGGCTCACGAGACTGGCACCTGTTTTTAAAGTGCTTCCAAGGAATACAGCCATCGCCATGGCATCGGCCACCGCGCTCAGAACCACGCCAGACCTTTCCACCTGGGAGAACTTTCTTCTCTTTTTAAAATGCAGCTGGATGTGGCGTGGAGAAGACCATGCTGCCAGCCAAGGGGTGATGCAGCATCGCTGACCCAGGTGAGCCGGGGGGTGGACGAGTGTCCAGTGCCTCCAGCACGGGGGACAGGAGTGCAGGGGACTGTGAGCCAAAGATAACCTGAGCTTGTAGTGCAGGGTGAGGCGTTGCTTTGGTAATCACTTTGGGCCAGTTGGGGGCCGTGGAGAGAGGGGCTGACGTGAGGCTCAGTACCCAGGCCCGTTTCTGTCTCAAAGAGACACATGTTTGACTTCCAATGTCCATCAACTTGTAGTCTGTGGGTTCAAGGCCAAGAACCTTAAGTTTATTACCCAGAAAATACCCACTTTGGGTGACAGCAATGTAATTCATCTTTCCCTTTCTGCTCAAGAAAAATTGCAACTCTCTGTAGATGTGGCCAGTAAGACCAAAGCAAAAGTCCAGACGGGCACCTAATTTGTCATTGGCTGGCAGCACCTGGCCAAGTACCCATGGCGAGGACCGAGGGCTGGTTGTGAACTTAAATTTGAAACTAGATTGATAAAGTGCTCTGTCTAATCCTCTTTGTCACAGCAGGTTTCAGCTGGAACAAAGAGACCCCTACTTTGTTATTGCTACTTTCACACACACACACACACACACACACACACACACAGGTGCACTGCATTCCTCCACAATAGACGAAGGCTCATCCTCAAGCAGAGGAAGGAGCACCTGCTCAAGACAGGCAGACCCACATTGGCATGAGTGTTCATGAGGAATCACCTTTAAAATGCCACTCTGGGAGTCTGGGTGGCACCATCGGTTAGCATGTGGTACTTATAAAATGCCACTCTGCAGAAATTCCATCAAGACAAAAAAAATAAATCCTCAACTGGGAATAAAGGAGATTGACACGTAAGTGTGGTCAACATTCAGTGTAGGATCTTAATCACCTTTAAGACATTCACTTTAACATAAATACCTCACATTGTTAAAAAAAAAACAAAAACAAAAGGCAGACCTAGATAAACAGCGTGGGAGGGAATTTCACAGTATTGCACCCTGTTCCTCAGGATGCCCCCTGCACCCCAGAAGCAGTTTCCTCTATGACTCAGAAAGGCCACTCAGAGATGGCGAGGGTGCACCCCCAGGAGTGAGCCCCAGACCTGGGTGTTGAACAGCAACAGAACGTTCATGGGGGGACCTGGGAATGAGATGGTGAAAGCATTTCTTCTATTTTTTTTTTTTAATTGAGCCTACCTGAATTTCAAACAGACCAAAAAAAAATTTTTTTTTAATATTGTATAGGTTGAGCATCTCTAACCCCAAAATCCCAAATCTGGAACTTTTAAAGCATCGAGGAGCTCAAAGAGCTTTGAATTTCCAGGCATTTCAGATTTTGGATTTCTAGATTAGGGATATTTGATTGGTAAAGTCTGTTCACACGTTCAAAATCCAAAAGCACTCTGCAACAATTTTGGCGTAAGAATTTCAGGTAAGGGATGCCCAACCTATACAAATATTTCTGATGGGATTCTGGGATTCGGACACATAACACCCTCTTAGATTGGATTCTCTGATGTCACAGGTCCTGCCCATTGCAAG